TACTGATAATTCAACATATACACAATCTTATCTAATTTTTTCAGGAAAGGGAACAATACACAGGTGTAACTTCCAAATAATGCTTAAACAAGCAAGACCCCTATCCCAATAATGGGAATCATAGAATACTCAATTTCCCTCCCAAAATAGGGAAAAATGAGGTCGATGTTATAACTTTTTAATCACCCATATCAGATGAGACTAACCATGCAGTTCCTGCTCATTGACCTAAAAGGAGGGTCTCATCAGGAAATGCAAAATAGGTCTCTTTCCACTTCTACTCAGCAAAACTAACCAATACGATGCTGAGCCAGACCTGAAAGTGGGGTCTCATCAGGAAATGCAAATTAGGTCTTTCCACTTCTACTCAACCAACTGGCTGATACAATGCTGAGCCAGACTGACTGGTCCAACAAAATATCACAGCCTGATTTCAGAAAGTGTAGGGCTCAGATTTTGTTGTTTCGGCAAGATGGAATTTGCACAAACAAGCATACATGCTATTACAATACCATGATTGACTGCTTTCATTGTTTATCAGCACAAGAACATTGCAAGCGTACATTGCCCCTTTCAAGTATTGTCGTAAACTTAACATGGCCATAAATGTATATAAATGTTTACCTGTAAAGTTTCCAGATACAAAGGCTCGTGACGCATCTCTGACATCCACCAAACAGTTCAAAATTTAGCATCAGATGAAAATATGAAAGTTCATGAAATAACTAGAACATAAATAAAAACTAGAAATAAAATTGGATACATCAAATGACTTGATTCTTAAATTCGAAGAAAGAGTATATCACATGGATACTTCAATTATTGTATTCTAACTTGATACCTGTCAGATGTGGTAGTTGTAGGATACTTCTCGGATACATGTCAGACAAATATATGAAGTACCCAATTTTTGTATAATTATTTAAAAGATTGGATATCTTTGGTAAAGGTACCAAGTCCATAAGATGAATAAATTAAGGCATAACTGTAACATCATAGCTGTGTGTAGATTAGCAGCATTAAGCAGGACAAGGTCCAATATCCCTAAGATTCCATCCTCAGATAGCTTAGCTTTCAAATTATATACGTAATCGTGAAATTAGTCAACTAACATAAGAATAAGATAGGATCATGAAATGCACAAACCTGCCAGAAAAATGATGATAGCCTCCTCCAGGGCCATAATGTGTTTTTCCTTTTGTGACATCAAACACTGATCTGCAAGAAAGAAAAGAGTCAATTCTTTCGCATAGCAAACGAACCAAAGACACCAAGAGACGATAGCTTGTGAGAGCATATAGCAGAATCTTAGAATACCCTAGTATTCCGAGCAGTATCGGTAGCCCGTCCTCAGTCCCATTGTACAAGCTCAACTCCTCCACGGTCCACAGTCTCTGCCAAACAAGTCCAAGAATCAAACAAGATCATTAAGCACCGCGCGGGGAGTTATTCGATCAGCAACAAAGGAATCCGCCTGCGGATCAAGCTTGAAAGAGAATTGAAGGAACGAACCGGTCGGAGATGCTTCCTTATGTAGAACTGAAGCGCGAAGGCGATGAGGGCAATCAGGAACCCTAACCCTAGAAGCAGGGGAGACGAGACTCGTGTTGGCCTCGACGGCGAGGCCATTCGCCCCTCTTTCTCTCTCTTTCTCTCGCTCCTACTTTTCTTAGCTCGACTTCGTTTCTTGGTCGGGGAAATTATTACCGAAGGAGAAGGCGGCGAAAGCTTGTCCCGGAAGCGACTTTTCTACCATATGTTAAACGTACCCACCTTGGCCGTTACCCACGTCCGCCAACCGCAAAGGTCTACCTCGCTCGGCCGAAGCTGGTGGGCCCCACTACCACCCACAACCGAACTGGGCTCGAAAATGGACTTCCTTTGTTAGGCTCTGTTTGTTGGGCCACATATTCCATTTCTTTTTCTGATCGAACCACCCGTGGACCGTGGCCCACATCACCTTGTAACTTCACCCGGATGAGTCAGCAACCATTTCTGATCGATAATAAGGTCAAATCCGTCCTTATGTTAACTTAATTAACATTATAAATAATAAAACAATATGGAAATATTAGCAGAACGGGATTCTCATGGAAACATCAAAATACATGGATAGACTCTTAAGGAGGCTTTCCAACTACGACTGTATGCTGCCCCCAGTAACATATACCGCATGCTAAGTCAGTGCCACATGTGCTGTCGTTGACACATGATCTCCGTGGCCCCACATGGACCGCGACATCACAGGCAACCACGGAGCAAGCTCCACCGAATCAAGATAAAGCTTTCGCCAATGATCTTGGAATTGTGGTCTCTCGATGATCTTGTCCAATCTGCTAGATAAGCGAACATTTAAGGGGTGTAAGGATAAGCCTCGACTGACCTTTCTCTTGGACCAACGCATCGTCGCAGTGAAGAGTAGAAAGGCTTGTAAGGAAAGCATGATTTGGACAGGGAACCAAATGGTGTATGCTGCTGTAGTTCCATTAAAAGGGTTTGGTGTGGCAGTTGGAGGTTGATGCTGCGAAGAACCCAGTCTTGAGAGATCTCAATAGCATGTACATGTTTGTGACAGGTGAATTTGGATGACAGTGCTCGGAGTGCAGCTGAAGCAATGTTATGGTTGCAAATAGCGTGTATGTCTTCAGAGATCAAGTATGAAAAAAGGTATGCCCTGAAGTCAAAAAGTTTTTGCTACATTTTCCTCAGAGATACTCACCAAAGGCAGCAATGTCATATTGGAAGACCAACTCAAATACAACTCATCCATAGTCAAACAGAATATTCAAGCGTGATTTGATATTATATGGAATCCAGGTCAGAATTTGGCACCTTAATCTAGATGTTTTTAGTTCGGTAGATGATCACTATGCATGGTTTTATATCTTATCCTTCAGGGATAATTCACATTGGATTTACGTATATTATGCTCCATGTGAGGAGTGCCTGTCGACAGGGTGACTGCCTTTACCAGCTTCTGTTGTCGGAGGTGACGCCGGCGACACTGCCAACGAGGACTAAACGATGCAAACCTTCTAATGTACATAAGATATATCACAAGTACGTATAATATATGTCGAAAAATGCAATATTGCCACCTCAACTTATATAGAATTCACTGGGCGTGATGGAATGCTTGTTGTCGATTGCTAACGCAGACCAACTACCCGGTGGCAAATAAATGCTCGGCTTCCGCCGGCGTCGCGTCCACGCATTTCCACGTGTGACTGACGTGGTTTGATCTCGACATCAATGCTAGTAATTAGGTATTCTCTTCCTCGTCATCTCCACGCACTCCATGGACGTCGTCAAAGTGTGATCCGAAAGAGGAAGAAAGGTTAGATTAGTGGCAAGTTCCCACTCGTTTGTTGAAGCTGTAGGAGAACGAAGAAGAGGTAGTCGCGCATGCATTCATAACCCTCCTAACATTGTTTGGCAAGTGGGTTTGATTGCTGATTATGCATCATTTTATAGTCCATGAATAATGCTGAATCCGAAGTGATGAAAGGGGGCACACATGCTTTCTGTCTTGGATAACACCGTTCTCTTTTTCCTCATACATATAGATTCTAGCCAAGTGTGCCATTTGTGTTGTCTGGCCTTCTCAAACCCATAGGCCATAGCCACATCATCTACTCATATACAGACGATTGACAAAGATTAAGAACTTGCTGAAAACATATGTTTCTTCCATTAATTGGCATCAAACACTCAAAACTCGTCACCCTCAAGCCTCGTTACCAGTCTCACCTGTTTGGGACTGAGCAAGGTGTGCTACCGAAGGGGTCCTACATGGGTTGGTGTGGCAAACTGATCAGGAACTGCATGTGTAGCCTGCACAACATAAAGCTGATAGCGTGTCTCCATCAGCAAGCTCGTGGCTGTAGCAATCATGCACGCCACGTTGTTGACATGCCACAGTTCCAGGATCAATAGTGATGTGATGCCTTCGCTAACTTTCGCTTGGACTTCCACAGGTGGCCTCAACATGGGAGCTGCTGGAAGACGCCTCTGAGATGCTGCAGCTGAAAAGTGCAAGCAGGATATGGACGCTTCCCCCAGTGACTCATCCCCTGCGGGGAACAACTGGGCCACCCGATGTTCCATCTTTTGGTGTGCAGGAAGCTTCGGTTGTCTGCAACCCGAGGTCTGTAACGACTTGAACCGGATAAATGGTTGCACTGCTATTTCAGGAGAGGAATCACGTAGGGTGATCCAAAAGCTTGTCTCCGACATGCATGCAGGTGATGTCAACTGCATGCAGCACGACGTGCGGCCGACCGCAAGGTGAAGGTGGGTGTGATGGAAAGCAGAGGAGGCATCTAGCTCTCTCAGCTTGACGTCTCAGGTGGGCAAAGGATTCTGAGGCCAAGGACGTTCACTTCCTTTCGTTCTTTGGAACGGGAGAGATCTGTGGTTCATGGTGTTCGTGTTCTGGATCTGGGCGTCCGGCGAGGAAGAAATCTACCACTGCTGTTTTGAAGGGAAGACCGCTGCATGAGTTCGTCAACTTCAAGAATAGTTCTCTGGGTCTCATATCCAACCAGTTGATCCTATGCATGAGTTCAGATCTGTGTGTGATACTTTCATTTGAAGATGTGATATACTTCCCCTAACGCTTTGAGATGCGTGCACACTTAAACCTTAAGATAAGAATTCAATAATGATTAAAAATTATATTGACGAAGGGTAAATTTGTCATTAAGAACAAAATTAACGATCACAGAAAATATTTGATACAATATATATTTTAAATTTTATAAGGGTATGTTTATACTATATGATATTTATGAAATATTAAATTTGATATTTCAGTTTTGAAAAGAAATATATATTAATTTTAATTTAAACATAACAGAAAAAAAGGGGTCCAACTGCAAGTCACCGGCAGTTAGCCTAAACCCTACGGAGGAGCGCCATTCCGTTAAATGGAAGCGTATAGTAATGGGATAAAGGGGGTGAAATTAAAACTGGACGGGTATTTAATCGCCCTCTCCTTCACGCCATCTCCAGTGCCCTTCGATCGTAACCCGTGTCGCCTCCGTTTCTTCACCCAATTCGAACACGACCTTTTCGCACCTCCTCTTCCTCTCTCTCCTCTTCGTTCTACGGCCTACATTATCTTGCCTCTTGATCTCGCTGCCCTTCTGTCCTAGTCCTTGCTTCGAAAGAGAGAAGAAAAGGCTCCCTTTGAAGTATTTGTGGTTACCAGTGTGGCGGTGGAGCGGAGAAGGAGATGAAGTACGTTTTGGTGACGGGAGGTGTTGTTAGTGGGCTAGGGAAGGGGGTGACGGCGAGCAGCATTGGTGTCGTCCTCAAGGCGTGCGGTCTCAGGGTTACCTCTATCAAGATCGGTGATTCCTTTGCCCTCCTTGAATTCTTTTGGTAGATTCGATCATAATTATGTTTGTTTCTTTTCCTTTTGGTTGGCTAACCGTATAGTTTGAGCTAAAAAGAAGAAACTTTGAACAATCTTCGTTGTGTTTGGTCTGCACCGAAACGTGAGTGTTTTGTCTTGTAGGATAACAGCAGAGTATTTGTCGGCCATTTTGGAAATTGATGTTTATGATGGGACATTAAATATAGTACATACGGAGTCGATCTTCGCCTTATTCTTCTGCATCGCTTTATTAAAGAGTCTAGTTTATTTTGAGCTGTTTTATCCGCATTCCCAGAGAATATCGTTGTTCCTTGTGGATTTGATCTGTTTTTTTTCACCTAATATATTAAAGGGGGAATATGCGAAAGGCATGTGACGGGGGTTGTCACCTTGCATGTGTTTGATTCTTTCATTGGTTCAACAGTAGATAGAAGTGACAATCAGATCGGGAAGCTAGAATTTTCGTGTTGGTTTTATTTAAGAGAAGAGAACGAGCATACCATAAATAGCTGTCAATTATGTTCACGATTTCCTTTTAAGCCTTTTCAAAACATGGACCTCTTCTCCACGGGATGATTTTGTCACAGACTTAATACATGATGATGCATTGATGCCAGTTTTTGCTTTGGACATTTGCATGTGAAAGTTAAAAAGAACCATTATGTTAATTTTAATTTATTTGTGCAGATCCCTATCTGAATACTGATGCAGGAACAATGTCACCATTTGAACATGGTGAGGTGTTTGTTTTAGATGATGGTGGTGAGGTACAAATTTCCCAAGATTGTCCCAATAGTTTGAATTTCTTGCATTTTATCATAACACGGCCTTGGCTTTTCATTTCTTTCTTGTTGTTTCTTGTCCAACAGTATACCATGGATGTACCTTATCTTTTTTTTTTGTTGCTATTTTTCAATTTGAGCTGCTGGATAAAAAGTGTATGTCTTGAAGTACTAGTTAAAAACTGTTTCTTGTTTAAATTGGGAATATTGTGTTTGAATAAAACCCTGTACTTGACTATGCCTTCAGAATCCATCACCTTTCAAAATTTTATCTACTTTGCATTCTTTTATCGTCACATTTCGTTGTCTTCTTCTTTTCAGTCTGGCTTATGCTCTGGAATTCTAGTTTCTGATAAATGGTACTGTATTAGGCGGACTTGGATCTTGGAAACTACGAGAGATTCTTAGATATCAAGTTGACTCGGGACAACAACATTACAACTGGGAAGATATACCAGGTGCTGGAGGAATCAACCTTTCTTCTTAAACCTGAGATGTAATGACTAGGCATATTATTCTAAATAGTTGTATAACCAAAAGTATTAATTATAAGACATGTTTCTAACTTTCTTTAATTTTGGAGTTTCTAGTTGGGCATTAATTTAACATGCCTTTCATGTCGTGCTGAGGTCTCCAACAATTTCTTGTTGTTGTCATTAGTTTGTCATCAATAAAGAGAGAAAAGGTGACTACCTTGGAAAAACAGTTCAGGTTTGACCCTTGTGGCAGCATCATTCGCTCTATGCTTTTATTGTTGAGTGGATCATCATGGAAATTATCTAACATAAACTCAATCTATGTCCATCTTGTCATTCTGCAAAGGTTGTGCCACACGTAACAGATGCAATACAAGAGTGGATTGAACGTGCAGCAATGATTCCTGTTGATGGCGAAGAAGGACCAGCTGATGTTTGTGTCATTGAATTAGGTGGAACTATAGGTATGGAAATTAGTTACCATATCATTTAATTTTTTCCATGTGATACAGCCATACTGTCATCAATATATATTTTCCTATGACATAAGATTTAATTTTTGATGCAGGGGATATTGAGTCAATGCCTTTTATTGAGGCCCTATGTCAATTTTCATGCCGTGTAGGTAAGAATTGAAAAATGGATGTTTGAACTTAAAATATATGAAGTTCCTGCACAGATATTTGCCCTAATGGCTATTGTTCAGGACCTGGCAACTTTTGTCTTGTTCATGTCAGTTTGGTGCCCGTTCTAAATGTGGTTGGTGAACAGGTACTAACAAAGTTTGCAAATAGATAGATACTTCTTGTATTTATTTCTTTGATATGCTGCTTATTACAACAACAATAAGGCCATAAAGTTTTAACATAGTATTCAGGACTAAGTCATAAGATTTTTCTTTTTTTCTCTCTTACCAATGCAGAAAACTAAGCCCACCCAGCATAGCGTTCGGGGATTAAGGGCACTTGGATTGGCACCAAATGTTCTTGCTTGTCGCAGTGAAAAGGTACCTACGTTTGTCTATCCTTTTTCCTTGGTATATCTTTTAGCAACGCCATTGGACATTGATAGATGATGTTGTTCTTGGCAGCCACTTGATGAGAATGTGAAAGGGAAATTGTCTCAGTTTTGCCATGTTCCTGTAAGTAGATCAAGCTTTATATATGTTTCTCTAGAAGGATATATTGGAAATTTTGGTTAATAACTAATTCAGTCAAAATTCACTTGCAGGTGGAGAACATCTTTACCCTTTATGATGTTTCAAACATTTGGCATGTTCCTTTGCTTTTAAGGGTGCGTACATCCCGGCTGCCTATGTACAGGCATCTGGAAAATCATATAAACCCAATATGATTTTCTTTTTTGTTTGTTACAGGACCAGAAGGCACATAAAGCTATTCTAACAAAACTGGACCTATTAAGGTTTGTCCAATAGACTTAAGAAATGCATTTCATTCTATATGTCTTTTTGCAGTTTTTCAGTCTGTTGATTTCTTGGGTGTATAGGCTAGATTATAATTTGCTACATCATAATTTTATTTTGTTTCTACTGCAGTCTTGGAGAGCCAAACTTAAGAAAATGGAAGGATAGGGCTGAACTCTGTGATACATTACATGATCCCGTGTGTTTCAATAACTTAAAATAGTTGAGTTAAAGGTATTGTGGTTTCATGATTTGTTTAGCTGGAGTATTGACAACTTCACCTTTTCGTTTGTCAGGTCAAAATTGCAATAGTTGGAAAGTATACTGGTCTTTCCGATTCCTATTTGTCTGTATTGAAGGTAATCATTTTTGGCATAATCTCAAATGTGTTTTCCTATTCATGCCCTTTTCTATATCCTATCCTCTCACGTAGGTAGTTTCATAAGCTAATAATTCCTCTGGTTCTGTTCATCATGTCTTGGAAATAAATTTGTTGAATGCCAAACTAATACCCATTGTAGTTGATTCTTAAGGAATCTCTTTATTTACAGTTGTGCCCAAATTCTCCTGCATGTTATTATTATTGAAAGGATGTGTTCAATGGATGTTTTTGTTACCGTGTGATTATTCAAGTTCAAATTGTAGTTATCAATAATTAATGTGTACTCCCTCATTGCAGGCCCTTTTACATGCCTCTGTTGCTTGTCAACGGAAGCTTGTAGTTGAGTGGGTTCCGGCTGCCGACCTTGAAGAATTAAGAGCAATAGAGGTTTAGAATTTAATTTAATCTTTAGTTCTCTTGTTCTTCACTCCATCTCTTTATTGTTGTCATTATTGTTATTATTATTAATGTTATTTGAAATCTTACTCGGTTATGTGTAGGCACCTAATCTTCATGGAAAGGCCTGGAATATGTTAAAGGTGAGCAAGGTCTTGTATATGGTGCTAGTTTTGCATTCTATACCTGTATGTATTCTTCTTGTACTCATTGAAATAATGTGCCATGTACCAACTCAGGGTGCAGATGGCATACTAGTTCCTGGAGGTTTTGGTGACAGGGGAGTTCAAGGAAAAATTATTGCAGCAAAATATGCTAGAGAAAATAATGTACCATTTCTTGGCATATGCCTGGGCATGCAAATAGCTGTTATTGAGTATGCACGTTCCATTCTCAAGTTGCAGAATGCAAATAGCACTGAGTTTGACCCAGACACAAAAAATCCATGTGTTATTTTTATGCCAGAGGTAAATCACTTGGATTTCATTGTTGGACCTTTTACTTGCTGCACTAATACTTAATATTTGCAGGGTTCAAAAACTCATATGGGTGGGACAATGCGACTTGGATCCCGGAGTACTTTCTTTCATGTTCTGGACTGTAAATCTGCAAAGCTGTAAGTATTGTTCATATCCATTATGAACAAAATGTCTTTTGACATGCATGGTTTTGCAATTGAAGGAATATTTAAAGAAACTAAATCTCTTCTCTCTCCTCCTTTCTCCCTTGTGATAGGTATGGCAACGTCAGGTACATTGATGAGCGACATCGACACAGATATGAGGTTGGTCTCTTGATTTTTTTCATGTATACTAGTTGGTAAGCCTGTTATCAAGTGATTCATGACATTTCTTGATTTCCATGATCCTCCAAGAGTAAGCAAACCTCACCATTAGCTGGTACTAAAAAAATTAGAATAGCATTCTGAATGTCTTGTACTAATCAATATCAACACATCTAAGGTTAATCCTGGCATGATTTTGGAACTTGAAAATGCTGGTCTTACATTTGTTGGTAAGGACGAAACAGGCAGACGCATGGAGGTACGATTGTGAAATTACGATCTTATTGGTTTGTTTTATGAGTTCTTATTCATTCTGGGTCTCTGTGATGGCATTGTTGGACTTCATTGTCACACCATATTTACTGTAGATTCTTGAGCTGCTTACTCATCCATATTTTGTGGGAGTGCAATTTCATCCAGAGTACAAGTCAAGACCAGGAAAACCTTCTGCTCCCTTTTTAGGTAATGACTCACCAGGAGCCTTTCACACTATTAATCCTTAAGTACACAGATTTTTCTCTGATTTTCAACTCTATGTGCAATGTATAAGAAAGCCTTTCTTGATTTTTTAGTCAAACTGACATTTGGATTTTGGTCACTAATGTGTATTCCACTGTCCATGATGATTATCCTGTAACTCAAAGATTATCATTTAAACCTACTATACAGAATCCCATGTAATGGAAAATAAATGCGAGAAACTACACCTCTCTCTCTCTCTCTCTCTCTCTTTCTTTTCTTTTAAGAAAAATATGAGAAGGATTCATCATATTTCTGAACAACAAGGTTTCTTGGTTGCAATCTGTGTAATCAAAGATTCGAGTTATAGAAACAGTTTTGCTATTTATTGGGATAAGATTGCTCTAGATCCATAGTAAGAGAAGCTTCATGCATGAAATTTATTTTTATTTATGAGAAGGATCCACGATAATCCTTTTTTATATAAAATTGAAGTAAACATAAGAAAATCTTCTGAGATGGCTCAGACAAGAGAGATGGCAGCAAAATATAACCTGATATAAAGGTAGTTGTTAAAACAATAGTGCATATATTTCACCTGTGAAAAGAAATCTTGTATGTCTTAGGGCTAGAGTGCATTTGTTTGTCTGTGAGTTCAGAGCTCTACTGAAAATTTCTTCATTCGTATTTATACTGTTATTTCGCAATGATAAAAATTGTATACCATTATAAAAACAAAAATATTCTTGTGTATCTTTGGCAATCTTGTAGTATATTTTCTGAGTAATCGTTGAGAAAGAACAATTTCCATTTCATGTTTTTGTTTTAGCTTCTAGAGATTCTTGTGTTCTAATCTTCATTTGCAAGTCTATAGCACATGTTTTTTTACAACAAGTTCATTCATAAGTAGTTACCTGAGTACCTGCAGAACTCCCTAATGGCAGCTTCCGAGAGGGCGAATATCTGGTGCCGTTGCTAAATCATTTTCATATGACCTGACTGACAAGTTAATTTGTCGACAGGGCTCGTTGCAGCCTCATGTGGCCAGTTGGGAAGGCTGCTGCAAAGCCTCAGCCACTCTGACATGCGAACTCATAAAGATCTCTCCATCAATGGAGCTCCCAAGCTGAATCCATACCAAAACGGGGACAACAACAAACGTGCATATGGCTTATACTCCAATGGCGATGGGGTGCATGCCTAACAATGGATGCTGTTTTGTGTCTAAAGAATATAAGGTTTCTTCCCTTTGGTCTGTATAGTTATGCATTACTTCAAGTTCAGATATAATGGTTGTGTGCCCGTCCAAAGTTTTGATGGAAGCAGCCTGTTTTACTTTAATATAGCTTTGATAGGATCTCCAAGTGACAATATCTGCTTCTTTGTAGATGGAAAACTTGTGTCGTCTGCTCAATGCCTGTAGGTTGCAGATCTACAGGCTAGAAATGTTAAATCCTTTTAAACCCTGAAACAACATATGATTTGGGATCACCATAAGAATTCTCTTGAAATTTCATGGCATGAACAAATTGTGTTCTCTGATATGAGAAGAAATTGACTATTTGTATTAGCCCTCTAAACATTACACATAACTGGAGATCAACAGGATACATACATACCACAGACACCAAAAACAAGGTTCTCTGCATGCTCGAGAAGAAGCAGCTTCACACAGCCACATTATTACAAGTCTGGACCTCTGGGATCTCCACTATGCTCTCCAATGTGGGCTTCCACCCTCCTCTACCTTTTCCTCTCTCTTTCTGCGTCTCTCTACCCATCTCCACCAACACATCTTCCAGCCTCTGCTCCGCTTTCTCCTTCAGGTGAAGCTCCAGCCATGCTAGCTCCTTTCTTGTCAGCAACATCTTGATCTTGCAACCTCCGTCCCCTTTTTCTTTCTCCGTGTCTTCTTCCACTTGCCGTGGAGCACATCTCTCCATCCGGTTGCCCATAAATCCCAGCACCACGAGGAACCAGAGAGAAGCCTCATGAGTTTAAGTAAATGTGCCAGTTCGTCATGCCTTGGCGTCGGAGGTGGGCGGAAGGTGTGGTGGTCCACCAGCAAGCTTCTATCACCAATTAATAATGGATTCTTGTGTCTTCACTGAAGTGATGATGGGAAATGGTCAAGTATCTGTAGCCGTTTCACCTTGAGAAAGCGATGGCCGACTCCTTCTCGCACTGCCAGCCTCTCCACAATGCCGCTCCTCCTCTAACATGTACGGTGATCACCACACACTTGAGCCTGTCGGTAGAGACTTTTTCTCTACCTAGCTGTGATCCTTTTGTCTTCAACACTTCACCTTTTAGCTTCCGCTCCTTAGAAACTACTAAGCTATGGGTCTCCTTTTTCCACAAGGCATCTATCTCGTGCAACACTCGACTACAATGTGCAGCCGCATGCTTCGTTCAGGTGGATGACTGGATAAAGACACGTTGTATTTTGAGAGAAGAACGAAACGGACGAGCACACTTCATTCAGGCTGCAAGAAAGCAAATCCAACGCCGACACGGCACGAGAAGGGAAGAAGAAGCTGTTCCATTACATGAGACTTCCAGTAGCATTGAAGCAAACAAACTTGCTCTCACTTTACCTTGTTCATCTCACGTCTTCCAACCTCACGCTTGCACGAGTACCACCATTCGGCATTCATGGCTGTTGGAAATTTCTCGGCACAGCAGCGTGTTGATCCCCTGATCCTTTCTTCCTGATGACATGAGCATGAGCTGATCATTTCGTCAATAAGGGAAAAATAAAAAAAAAAATTATTTTATTTTATGACGATTTGGATTCGGCCACGCCGATTAATTATGAACACACAAACTCGACTTGACTTGTCAAACATGGATAATATAATAACATTTCTAAATATTTTTTTTATTTTGAAACAAAAAAATAAGTGATAAAAATAAGATTTAAATTCAAGATCTTATGATAAATTATTGACATTTAGGTATTTGTGAATTTTGATCTTGGCCAATTGAATTCTAACTCATAATAAATATATTAATGAAATGTGTTTTATCTAATCTCATATTTATACATCATCACATCTGGACGCTAAGAGATGGATGAAAAATCTAAAACAAATACAAATAAAAATGAAATGAATATAATAAAAATATTTTTTATAGTGGTATTGTCTTAAACATAGTTTATGATTTCTTCACGGCGGCGTACGGTCGATCTGCCACTGTCACTACAAGATTCGTGCGGGTAACAGATGAGCGGTGTGGATGCGCCATGAATCGATCGTGGAGACTTCGTTCGAAGTGCGCCTTTTAAAGTTTCCCTAAACGTCTACCACAATGGTCATTGGAAGTTCTGTTCTCGTTTCCGTGTCAACCCCGCTTGAATCTGCCACCATCGGTCAGGTATATCATCGCGTATCGTTCAAACAAGTAGGCGTAGTAATATCTTCGGCTGCCCTACATAATTCCACATGGCTTCGCTTCCGTCGACCGGAGGAAGCCCGGCGGCGATGGCGAACAAACTCCACCGCTTGTTGACCATCCCATGGAAGCGTGAGATCGCGCAGCCGGGATTAGGGCTAGGGTTGAGGTTTCCGGGCGCGAGGTCCCTTGCGTCTTCCGTTCCAACGCCGGAAGAGGCAGCTCGATTCGCTCCCTCTCCTACCCCGTCCAAGCCGGAAGTGGAGGAGGAAGACTCGGCCTCGACGAAAGGGGAAGAAGGCACCACGGTGGAGGAAGAGGACGATGGCGTCCACACGAACAAGCTCACCGGCGAGGTCGGCGGGCCGAAGGGCCCCGAGCCTACGCGGTACGGCGATTGGGAGCGCGGAGGCCGCTGCTCAGACTTCTAGTTACTTGAATCAACAAGGCACATTGAATAAACAAAGGGTGATTTCTTTTTCCCTTTGATTTCCGTTTCGAATTTTGTAGTAATTGATCCCTTGATTTTGATGGAAGTCGTCCAAATTGAATAAGGTTTAGTTTTATTAAGGCTGATTAGATTTGTGTCAAGATCATGTGGGATTCGCTAAAGATGATTCTTTTGACGTAGATTTGGCGAAAAAGATAGATGAGTAAAGATGGAATTGCTTTGGGGATAGGTGTTTTAGGGTTTAGGGTTGCAATTTTTGTGTTGGGTTGGGTTGCAAAACATGTTAACTCTAACTTCGGCTGCATCAGGCGTATTGTTCTTGAACTTTACTGTGGTGGGATAGTTTTCGCTAGGGATGGGGTTAAGTCAGAGATACTTGCCTTTAACCTGAAATGCATCAAAACCTTGTTTAGACCATTCTAACCGAGTATATACTCATAACAAAATATCTTTTTATGACAATAGAGTTCATGCATCACTTCTATTGGTTGTTGACATGTTAAGCCTTCTAAGGTATATGCATGAGAAATACTGAGTACTTGATAAATATCAGCAGACGCCATATTAGAAAATGATATGTACTTCAGGAATAAAATTGTGTTTATTTCCACAACCAGAAATAAGACGTATTATTTTGTCTTATGGTAAGGCTTTTCTGTTTTACATTGTGGATGACATGTAGATTTGCGGTTCAATTCTTCAACTATTAGATACCTTCATTGCTCATCTCCTTACCTAATTCCCACGTAGAACAATCGATGCTTCCGATGTACCTGTGAGATGTTTCTGACAAAACTACTACTGTTGTGAAAACCAGTATGATTGATGCTTGACATAAATTTAGCTTTTCATTGTGAGTAAATTGACATCATGAACACACAGTTACTGTAGCATACACCTGATTAATTATTTTTAATTTTGTCATCAAGTGCTGATCAATTTCCATTTTACTGGATCTGAATAGTCGGGGAGAACTGACCATCCCTTTTCCTGTAAGAAAAGAATTCTCGGATGGTAGTTCTCTTAAAAGCTAATCTTTCCTTAAGTTCATCTAGATGAATGCTTCACTCCTGTGTCATTCACTGTATTTTCACTTTAGTAAAGATTTTAGCAACAGCTCCTTCAGGGTTTGCGATAGAGGTTTCTGATTTATGTACCTTGGTTTCCTGTTACCTTACGTTTTGGAATATTTTTGCAGCTTGCTTGTTACTCATTGTTTCTATTTCCTGATTTTTGTTTAGACCTTTCAACTCCTCTGGATGCCATGTTTCATCCATTATTTTCCACCTATGGTCACCCTCTCTATATGTTGTCTTATGGGTTTTAAAGCATTATATGGCTATTAATTCTTGATGTAGCACTCCACAAATTCATCAAATTTATTAACCGAAATAAGTAGTTTTGCAATTTATAATCTTGTGATCCTGTTATGCTTTTCTGTTGGATCCTCATATATATACTACATTTTGTTCTTTTCAAGTAGGAGAAAATGGTATCTGAGATCTTGATGGTATTAATGGTAGATTTTGTGTAAAGAGGGCTAGAAATCCAATTCTGCTAGGAGCTTATTTCGTTCATATTCTGCATGGGAGATGATTGTTTTATCCTTGTTAAATTGCTTGCAACTTTCTTGGACATATTTTGAAATTGTAAAAGATCTTGATATGCTGCTTCGGAATACTTTGTAAAGATCAAATTCCCTTTCATAGAGTGGTCTTGTAGGTACTCTTGCTAGTCTTGCTAGTCTTGTAGGTACTCTTGCTCCCGACAATACAAAACCTGGATATAGTGTTATTCCCAGAAATGGAGAGACTGTTTCCATGAATCTGACCACAACAGGAATCAAATTGAGGTGACCTTTGCATGACACCAATGCTCACCCTCCTCTCTTGCCAATATTCGCAGTAACAGTAGGCGGTATAACCATTTGATGTAGGCGGTATACCAGATTGGGAGGTATAAATACTAGATGTCAACTTGTAAAATCATACTTACAAAGATGAGTCTACTCGGTAAGAGTCTTCTGGTAAACATTTGATGTCGTGAGGTCTAAACGTATTTTGCAAGAATAGCTTCCGTATCAAAGTTGTCATCTCGCTGCACACATCAATTATTATTGTCTTTTTATTTCCGTGAGACATAAAAATCAACATTAGACATGGGTATAGTCTCAATCGAGTTCCAACTCCTCCTGAGAGAATTCTCACATCAATTGCATTTACTGGATGCAATTTATTTGTGTCCAAACTTATTCTCTTTAAACTGCCAATGCCTTTTTCTGCTGCTGATTTCTGCTCTCAATTCTGTGTTTTTCCAGAGGCCAGACATGGAGTCATCAAATAGATTGCCTCATCTAGTGTAAGTCCTGCTTAAATGCGATGTCACGACTCCGGTCTTGACGTGGTGTAAGCCCTGTTTATTTAAAGGCAAATAGACTCTTGTAGCAGTTTTTGCAAGAACAAGTCACTAAACTGAATGATGTCCCATCAGCATTGAATAATTTCAATATTTTTATTAATGTAATTGGTAGATACTGAATTTTGTCCAGTTCTTTGTTGATCTGAGCAAACACCAATATAACCAGGTTCCTAGTGTGGCTATTCTTATCTGCATCCAACTTTTAAGCTCTTGGATCTGTGATAATTCCCTGCTGCCCTGCTTCCGCGTCTGTGTAGTCCAGATCACCGTCACCGTTTCTCCTTGGACTGTAACAGGTTGCGATCATCGTCGCTCATCGCTCAATTCGTTTGCTCTGGTAACAGTTGACACTGCATTTTCCTCTCTCTTGTTGCAGGTTTCCACCATCTAAAGGGTATCCGTAACAATATATTACGGGGGCAAAAACCGGATGATGTAAGATCACAGGGAACAAAGTCAAACTATCTTATGGTATCTGTGCATAAAAGTCTACAGATCTCGGATACGATCAGCTGTTCTTACCGTAGAATATTAAAAGGATTATTCGCTGATGAGAACTGTCGTCATTCTTTTCAATCCAGGACTAGAAATTAATTATCTAGAAAGTAGATTTGACTAATATAAATATAATGGAACAGTTAGCAAAGGTTTTCTTTAATGAAATGCTTGACAGGCTCGCAAGTCTTTTTTAGTACAAATGAGTTGTCCATTGTTGAAGGAATAATATGTATATATAATTAGCTGAGGTCAATAGTGATATATATATATATATCACTATTATTAGACCAATGAAATTGGATAGATAGTTAATTGGACGACTTTGGTGCCGGACGCATCTCATGGATCATAATCTATACAAATGAATTGTAAGGAAGCTGGTGCTACGTGGCAGGATAATTACGTTTCGTACCCGCTCCTCTCACACCCGACCCACCGGACTCCCTTACTATTGGAGAGAGCTTTGCAACGTGGCTCCATTCATAAGCAGGGTAGCCGAGCGGTAGATCCAATGAGTCCGAAAAATATTTCTATAAAGAACGCAAAGAATTGTGATTCGTCGCATTGAAGATCTACCCGCCAACTAGATGGAGGCAGCTACCTGGAGATCGATGTGGGCCCCGTACTCTCCTAATCACAATGAGGTAGCATAAACGGGTTCGACCGCTAATAAACCGTTTAAATTCTGATTTGAAGTCCACCAAAACCATCCGCGCAAGAACGTTGCCAACACGGAACAAATCCTCAAGATCATATATAAAATAGAGTCAGAAGCTTGGACTAGTAAATGGTCTGTCAGAAGTCAGAAACCACTAATGGTCGTCAATCCTAGCCCATTCGGGCTCGGAGTTTGGACTATACTTGGCCATCCGGAGCAAGCAAAAGATCTGAAACAGGTAAGAAGACAGACTAGCAACGGAGTGGATCGCAAGCCAAACAAGACCACCGAACGAGAGGAGAAGAACGCCGCGACGAGAGTGAGAGGGAGAAGAGGAGGTTTCTTGTCGGACTTGCGACGGTTGGGTTTGGATCTTTGGGAGTTCGGATCGGCGGTGTGCGATGAAATACTTGGTGGAGGTTGAGAAAGGGAGAGAAGGCGATGGTGCTGGGCCCTCCGTCGGCCCTGCCTACCGTAACGTCTTGGCCAAGGACGGCTTCCCGTCGCCGGCCCCGGGCTTGGAGACCTGTTGGGATGTCTTCCGGTAAGATCCTTGTTCTTTCTGATTCTTCTCTTCTTTCTCCCCTTCTTGAATTGGTGACGGTTGAAGAAGAAAGGAGGATCTGATGTTTGATTTATTGATTTTTTTATTGTAATTAAGTTTATGATGACACTGGCGGTCAGTCTACTGACGATTAGCTGATCTGATCGTGTTTGTAGGATGTCTGTGGAGCGAAACCCCGACAACCGAATGCTGGGCCGCCGTGAAATTGTAGATGGGAAGGTTAGTCTTCCATTGCACCGGTAAAATCTGTTTTCGTGGATTGATTGTGAAATGAGTGTCACCGTGCTGCAGGCTGGTGAATATGTTTGGTTGACTTACAAAGAAGCATATGACATAGTAATAGAATTAGGTGCATCCATCCGAAGTCGTGGAGTTGGACAGGTAATTTTATTTGACGTTCTATTTTTCAGATTACTTTCCTGTGCATCACAAATATGGTTTGTATACATAGAATAAAGTGAATAAAACTGTTGTCTTATAAATAATTCTATGTTCTTCTCTTTTTTGACAAGGGGACACCATTACTGAGGTCATAAGTAGGGTATGAGATCATCCACTGAGGTCATTAATAGTGGCGAAAATGCACAATTTGTAGATGATTTGGACCCTACCTCCCATAAAGAAAGAGAAATGCTCTACTATCGAAAACAGGGGATGATGGTCCATCGTATGAAGTTTTACTTGTCTTGACAACTATCGCTTATATGACCATTCTTCAAACTTTGTAAGCCACATCTTGTGGAAACAATACTGTATGTGTTATGAAGCTAGTGAAGAAGTAAATTGATGAACTAAATTGATGGCTTGCATGTGAGAAGTAAGCAAAAGCTGTCCCTGAAGTGCCTTTGCCTCATAGTATCAATAATATTATATCATTTGTGGAATCAATTCATCTAGAATATTGAGAATAAGAAAAAATAAACAGAACTAATGATGAACAAATTCGATTCTGAAACATTTCACTGTTTGGTGATCATGTTTAAGCATAGATTATTTATCAATTTTAATGAGTAACATACTTCTATATTTGCTGATGCTGATAATTTCTTTAACTTGCAATTGCCATATTGAGAGTGTACAATTATCACTTTATCATATTTTATACTATAGAAGCCCCTTGAATGAAATCAGAATATCTTGCAGCCTTCATAACTGCAACAATAAGGTATATTCTGATTTTAGATCTTCTAGAAGTAATAACTATCTCTTTTGCACTTGCTTCAGGGTGGTAGATGCGGCATTTATGGTGTGAACTGTCCTGAATGGATCATGACTATGGAGGTATGTGAAAAAATGTTCAAGATATATTTGTGGCAATGGAATCGGCTTTTTAGCTGCCATTTTGAAATGCTGCATTATAGAAATTACATTGACCTTTTGGGGTTTTTTTCTCATTGTTGCATGTTAGATTTAGTACAGCTTTGTGTTTGAATGGTGCACGTTATGTGTACATGTATATTGTATAGGATTCACATAGTAAGCAAGAAGACTGCCAATTATAATTGTGTAGAGCATTTGCAACGATAAATCATCATACACAAACAATCTCATTATCTCAAGTTTCATTGTGAATATCTTATCCTTCATTATCAATTAGCAGATTATCATTCCTTTCCTTTTTTTCTCAGTAATGTTATATTCCATTATTTTTTTAAGAGTAATCCATATTTATGTTATGTGTTACCCTTAACCTCACTAATGTCTGTGAGTGCTGCAGGCTTGCAATGCCCATGGGATTTACTGTGTTCCCTTGTATGATACTCTTGGTAAGCGGCCATAATGCTCTTGTTGGATATTATAAGCATGTTGAACGATGAGCTAATGTATTAATTATAATGACACTTGCAAAATATTGCTTTTAAAATTAAGGAAAATGGAAAGTTTAATTAATCAACCAGCTTAAGGAGGTTTGAAGTTTTATACCATAGCAATTTTCCCTGGGAGGTTGTGCTCTTGTAATTTCTGTGTTTTTTCTCTTCTTCTGTGTCTATTATATTGCAATTGGTCATTCCTTTTCCTGTCATGATGTAGGTGCTGGAGCAATAGAATTTATTATATGCCATGCAGAGATTGAAATTGTTTTTGTGGAAGAAAAGAAAATCATGGAGGTACTCATTTTTTCACATACCTCCTGAAGAATTTTACATAGATTTTGTGTAAATTCATTAGAGTTTGTTACTCCTGAAGAAAATAAACCAAATTTTCTCTATGATTTAAATTAACCTATTCCATCAAATCATCATAAAAAGGTTTGTACATGCTTCAATCATGTCAACAGATTGAATCATTTTAATCATTTAACTACTTATATGATCTCTCATTTTACCTGACTGCCCTGTTGAGGCCATCTAAGATTTTTTCCTAAGTTCCATAAAATCTGGAAACTCGGTTGAAACACATGAGACAATATGAGATTCCCCATGCTAAATTTGAGTTTAATTGAAATTTGTAAGTTCACTTTCATAGTTATTATCTAACAGTTGAAGGAGGTTGGGGCTGATTAGTTTCTTGTACAGATCTTAGCCCAAAGTTTGTATTTCCCAGCACAATACTGCTGAGAAAGGTGGCTAGTTTGTATTTGATTTCCTTTTGTTTTGAATAATCAAATTATTAATTGGCCAATGCCTCATGCCTTATTGTGTGGCATAAAAGAGTGGTGTGGACACTTTTCCTTATTCAGTTAAATCATATTCATTAAGTATTAAAATGTTTCATCTATAACTTTGCAGGTGTTGAAGACCTTTCCTAATACGGTCAAGTACCTGAGAAGTAAGTTACTTACAGTTTTATGTCTACTCCTAAGTAAATCTGTCATATTGATGACTTTATTATGTCTGCAGCACTTGTAAGTTTTGGGAAAGTCACCACAGAACAAAAAGAAGAAGTTGAAAAGTTTGGTTTGACCATATATTCTTGGAATGACTTTTTACTCTTGGTATGTCTCTGTTTTCGTTCCTGATGCAGTTAGGCCAAATCATGCTGCTTAGAGTCGAGTTGGCTATTGTTGTGGCTTTTGAGTGCATTGTGAGAATTAACTACCAATACTAGTTATTTTTGTGGCATTATTTTTCTTCTTGTTTATGCAGTACCAAATAATTTAATTAAGAAACTTGTCATTGGTGACATGATTGGTATTCCAACGCTTGAATCGAAGTAATTGCTCTACATAAGTTAAGCATCATCAATATTTGTATGACCCATGTGGAAAATCTTACAAATAGTGGTTTCATGTATTTACATGTTGGAACAAAGTCAAAATTTTCAGGCTTTTCCACAAACTGTGTGGCTTCTGCTTTGTCATCCATCTCAATGTTGTTATCACATCACTAATTGTTACAACTTTCTCATTTAGTTTCTGAAGATTGCTCATTCTGTTGCAATCTCATTTCATTCATTGCTGTTCTTTGTTGCAACCGAACTGGGAAATCAAACGCTCATCTGCTGCTTTCATTATTGTTGCAAAATTGTTTTCAAAGATTGAGTTGTTGTCTTAAATATCTCTTCTGTGATTATCTACAGGGCAATAATGAACAATTTGATCTCCCAGTAAACAAGAAAAGTGATATTTGTACTATAATGTACACTAGTGGAACAACTGGCGATCCCAAGGGTGTAATGGTATCTAATGACAGCATCGTCACATTTATTGCTGGCGCAAATTGTTTGCTTGGCAATGCAAAGGCAGAGGTAATTCCTGAAATAAATCTCAAAAGTCTAACCTTTTAGCCAAATTTCATGCTCACTTTCAACCCTTGAGGAACAATTAAATTAATTCTTTCTGCTGATTGGACTTTGCGATTCTTGTTCATATTTTTGTTCTTACAGTTACATGACAATGACGTTTACCTTTCATATCTCCCTTTGGCACATATGTTTGATAGAGTGATTGAAGAGCTTTTTATTCTTCATGGGGCTTCAATTGGATTTTGGCGTGGGGTAAGCTATTTAAGTAGAAGATATTACAGCAGATTAAGTTTCATGAATTTATAAAAGTTATCATCCTCAGGATATCAAATTGTTAGTTGAGGACTTGGGGGCACTGAAACCTACTATCTTCTGTGCTGTTCCACGTGTACTTGATCGAATATATTCAGGTAAAATGTGTAAAAGAAAAAATGTATCATAGACTTTTCCTATTCACCATCATATATACGGAAGTGAAATATTGAATTTTTGCAGATAACCGAAAGTTGAAAAGTGTGAAGAAATTCTTAATACATGTTTGACTGTTTGACCTCCTATATCTTTCTTTGCATGTTGTTTCCGACTTTCCATTTTGTAATTCACCATTTTCTGTATTAATATTTTAAGAATACTGACATACTTTAGGGTGGTGAATATGGTTTCAATGGTTCCATATTCCAATTACTTTCTTTCCTCACTTCATCTGAGCAGTCCTCCCGGCCAGAAGTTGATATTAAAATGATACCAAGGTCACATGAAAAGATGCCCTCAATTAGTATGAGTATGTGCATCTCTTTGATGAGACCTTTGGCATTGGACCAGTAGAAAACAAATCTTCTCATGGTAGTCTCTGAAGAAATGAAATGACACAGCTATGTACTAATCTACTTTAACATCATGCACATCAAATATGCCTATGTTAGTATACTTTCAGCAGTATTCTTTTGAAAGAAGTGAATTCCTTAGACTTGTCATAAAATTTGTTAAATATTTGAATGCATAACCATTCAGCAGGACTGATAATTGTGCAGCTGAAGTTGTTGAAGTCTTTTTAAACTGCAGTGTTAATGCCCCTAGGTCTAAATGAAATATCTTTTAATGGTAAAGTATGAGACATGCACAGGCTCAATAGATCTCGACCTACCTGCCAGTATTTAATGATAAAACATTAAGCTCCAGCCAAATGTGATCTCAACAGTAGTTTCTCTTTTTTGTATCTAGGTTCATCCATGTCTATATATTCAGTGACATTTAGAGAAAAAATTTGAGGGAAGCAAATTGAGACATATAGGATTCTTTGAAATGCAGTCAGCTATCGTCTTCTTCTCTGCCCACTTGTATACTCTTTGATCACAAGATTGATCAACTAAAGAGACTTGATCAAAGATGAAGCACCTCTATTTTGCTAGCAGGATATTAAAATACCTTAATCTTCTAACTATAGAAGGTTACAGATTGCAAAGTGCATGTGTTGTGAGAAAATGGGTAGAATATGACTTGAGGAAACTTTATTAGAGACAATAAAAGAAACTTGATGGCTCTTAGTTTGACTAGTGATTTTGCTTTCAACAGAATTCAATGGCAAAAGAAGATCCATGTAACTAACCTTAAAAAGTTGATAGCTTCAAGCTAGAGGAAAAAGAAAAGGGCATATCCGGTGCATAAGGTTGCCACCATTCGGGGGTCTACCTCTATATACAAAGGCTGTTTCCATGACTTGAATTCTAATCTCTCAGGTTGCAAAGGAGCCTTTTAGAAACAATAAAAAAAAAATTTGGTGTCTCTTACTACTGATTTGGCTTTCAGAAAAGTTCAATGGCAGAAGATGCATGCAACCAACCTCGAGTGGTTGGAATCTTACATTTTTTTGTTGCAAAGAAGAGTATTCTAACTCATCTTGTACTTTATTTTTATTTTCAGGTTTGCAAAATAAAATATCTTCTGGTGGTTTCCTAAAGAAAATTTTGTTTAATTTTGCCTACAAAAGGTGAGTTTATACAAAATAGCAAATTTACAATCTTTAGTTCTTAGGTCAATGTACTTATGAGTTATGATTTCAATTATTATATTCAACGTACTCTCAGTTACAAACACATGTCTTTTTTTACCTTATTACTTTATTATGACAAATGTCCTGATTAATGTGTATGTGGTTCAGTTGAAGCTGATATGTTACGTTGGAATTTTGCAGTAAACTGAGCAATATGAGTAAGGGACAGAAGCATGAGGAGGCAGCTCCAATATTTGATAAAATTGTCTTCAGTAAGGTGAAGTGGATTGCCAGTAAAAGTTTGCTTCTTTTTTCAGTTCAGTGATTCTTCAGGATTATTAGTTGATATGTGATCTGTAATGACCATAGGTAAAACAAGGATTAGGTGGAAATGTGCGCATTATTCTATCAGGAGCAGCACCTCTAGCTACCCACGTCGAAACCTTCCTGCGGGTGGTCTCCTGTGCTCATGTTATACAAGGCTATGGTATACTAATATTTAAATTTATTAGCTTATTTCTCTAGTCCTATATCTTTCTGAAATTACGGTGGTGTATTTGCTCAATTTAATGCAACATTTTAAGTAGGAGAAGCGGATGATGTTAGTACAAAGAAAAGGAAACTAAGGCTGAAAAGGCAAAGCAAAGGGCATTTCCCCAGTCTATCTTTGTTTAGCCACTTTACTTTTCCTGGTCTGGTTAGAAAGATTTATCTTTGCTTTTCCTGGTTTCTTTAGGAAATAATTTTGTTATGTATATGTTGAATTAGTTTTCCATAGTCTATTAATTCTCATGAATGCTAACATCACCATTTAGCAAAGAGTATGCTGCATGGGATTACTATTTTTACATGCCAACCGTTGCCAACTTGGTGACAGCCATTTTATACTGCTGTACTTTATGGAGTCATATGCTTGCTGACAACATACTAAATTGTCCATGTTACAAAAAGTTACATGCTCCTTACGAAAGTTGCTTATGTTGGACTCTTTTAAAGCCTCTAAATTGGCTCATCGTCTCCTACAAATTATGGTTGTACTCTATAAGTAAAGGCAATTTTCATCATTTTTTTCTTATATTAAACTGAAGAAATCTTTAAATTTTTGAAGCCTATGATAACTTTCTGATTCAAAGGGATTCCTTATATTTCCTTGTTCTCTAATATCTGCTTCTTTGGCATCTATTTTGCATTTTTTTTATGCTGCTTCACTTGTATAAGTTTTTTTGATCTCAATCATTTGCAGCATAGACAATCTTGAACTTAGAACTTGTGAGGCTCTAACAATATTGCATTAACCTAAACCTTCATATGACCTTGAACCACTACTGTGCTATATCGGAGATAACAGCAGCAATGTTTCTGTTTTTGTTGAACAAAGATCCATGTTATCTCTTTGAGGCTCTTTTATTTCCTTTTTCCCAATTCATAACCAAACTTATTTGGACTCACCTCTTTCTCACGTATCATTTGAAGCTTGGAATCAGCATTTCAGCAATCTTAACTGAGCGACCGAGGAATGTTTTCAACTGTGTGATTACCATGCTGTCCAAACCTTAATTAGTGTAAAGTGACAATAAGGATTTTATTGTTTTATTTAATACATCTAAGATTGAAACATCCAAGTGATATAGTATGCCATCAAGGCTTATATTTGGGTATTGAACTTGTACCCTGCATTTCTTTTAATGAGATTAGTTGGAGTATTAACATCATGATATGGTTGTATGTATTCTTATGCCGTGTCAGTGTAATTTGAATTATTTAAGCAAATTTTATGTATATTTTTGTGTACACAATGCTTGGCAGGCACACGAAATGATTTTCGATTTTCTTGGGGGTGCTAAAATAGCTAATTTTTTTTGTCTCAGGTCTGACTGAAACTTGTGCTGGCACATTTGTGTCAGTACCAAATGAGTTCTCAATGCTTGGAACTGTGGGCCCTCCTGTACCTAATGTGGATGTGCGCCTTGAGTCTGTTCCTGAGATGGGTTATGATGCACTTTCAACCACACCTCGTGGAGAAGTCTGCATCAGGGGAAGTACTTTGTTCTCCGGTTACTACAAGAGAGAAGACCTAACGAAAGAAGTTATGATTGACGGGTGGTTTCACACAGGTTCTTTTCATACTGCAATCTAGTTTTGGGTACAATGAAGCATATAGAAGATTTTTTTTTTTTCTAAATTATTTTGGTTGAATATGATGATCACATTGATAAGTCACCATTCAACCTATTTGATCATCAAATCTTCCTTCTCCATTTTCAGATATATGAACTATCAATTTAGGACTTAATGTGTAATATTGAATTTGCAATTCTCTTTTGGATCATTATAAAACTCATTTTTAGGATCCTTATGCTTTAACCACCATTTAGTTCCATCTTTGTATTTTTTTCATGTATCATACACAACTCCTGTTATATACATCTACCTATTGGCTTCTGTTGTCGCATTCCCCATTCTGAATCTTATTTTGATTATATGCAGGAGATATTGGTGAATGGCAACCGGATGGAAGCTTAAAAATTATTGATAGGAAGAAAAACATTTTTAAGCTATCACAAGGAGAGTATGTTGCAGTAGAGAATCTTGAGAGCATTTATGGTCTTGTTCCAACAATTGACTCAGTAAGTCTCTTGAATAATATCTTGAAGAATGATTTAGATGTTCCATTAAAGAATTTCCAGATTAGAAGTGGTATCTTGAACTCTTTCAGGACACATACAAATAGTTTCTTGTATGCCGTCTCAAAACAAAAAAGCGCCACACATCTTTCTCATCACAACAATTTTGCTTCCATTTCATTTTCTTTTATATCTTAGACATTGTGAACTTTTTAACTCAGTTCTTATTAAGAAAGCAGATGGAACATACTACTTTGCCGCATTTTCTGCCATTGTAGAATATCGGAAGCCATAGTTCTTATTTTGCAAATAGAAGGCTTTCAGATTTATAGACATACAAGAAACCCCATTTCAGGCATGTACTATTGAAGATGCATTTAAAACATTTTGTCAAGTGAAATGGACCTTCCATAAATGTTGCTATCTGAACACATGCTATATAAGAAAACTAAAATAAAGCCATAAGATCCTAATTGGATGAGTGGTTTACACTAGCAAATCTAAGACTTGGATGAGTTGCTCCTTTGGTTAGAATAGAGAATTTTGTGCATGCAAGTAAATCCTTATTACTCATCATGCTTTTCTTTGTGACTGACAGATCTTAATAGGATCGTCACTGGATGAGAGTGTAGCAACCAATTTACCTATGCTTGATAAAAGAAACAATGACAACCCTCCCTTTTAGGAGTATCATAGTTTAATCACAATCTGCTCTTCTTGTTTCTCAAGCTATCGGTGGTACTTAATAGATGAATGTTGCGCTTGACACTGGTTTCATTTTCTTCATGCTCTTAGCAATAATAAATCATCATTGCATAATTTTGTTCAAAGAAAAAATATTTAGCCCCAAAAATCTCAGTTTTTCTTCTTTTACCCTCTTCATTATTTGTTCTTTGGATTCATTGTCTTGCCACGAGTAATAATCATCTTGTTGCAGATATGGATTTATGGGAATAGCTTTGAGTCTTTCCTTGTCGCTGTGGTGAATCCCAATCAGCAAGCTCTTGAGCGATGGGCTGAAGAGAAAGGGGTAACCGGAGATTTTGCTGCTTTATGTGAGAATTCAAAAGCCAAAGAATATATACTTGAGGAGATAACTAAAGTTGCCAAATCAAAGAAGGTTGAACTTCTTTTTATTGCACCTAAATTCTGCTTGGTTGTTCTTTTCCCAAGGATTTTTTTATTTGCTAATTTGCTGGCTAAGTGGATTTTTAGTTCCTTGTAATTTTATGCTGACGAAGCTTTGCTTTTTTTATTGCCAGCTGAAAGGCTTTGAGATCATTAGAGCTCTTCATCTTGAACCCATACCATTTGACATGGATCGAGATCTCCTAACTCCAACATATAAAAAGAAGCGGCCACAAATGCTCAAGTACTACCAGGTTAGCTGTGACATCCCTGTTTCTGATTGACTTCCTTATCATTTGTTTCTTCAAATCTAGAGAATTACATGTGTTCCTAGAAACAAGTGAAGAAATAACATATTATTATTTCTATAATAACAACAATAATAAAATTATAAATCTCAATTATTTAGGATCGATTACATGGATCTTTTGCTATAATTGAGATCAGTAAAAAATTATATTTAATTAAAGTATTTATATCTTTATTTATAATTTTTATTAGGGTCTTTTTAAGTCTTTTCTCTCTTCTGATCACTAACATTAATAATTTTGTTTCTTTTGAATGTTACATTCATAGGCATGTTAGTATTATCGTAGATGATTCTCTCTTATTTTTTCTCCTGTCAATGCGATACGTAGTTGTTCATAAATAAAAATATATATTTTTTTATCTTTCTTAATAATTTCATATATTCATCTTAATATTTTCATTTTAGCAACACACAATTTTGTATATATTATTTTTTATCTACCCAACACTCTCTTTGTATAACTACATAATTATATTTTTTCGAGTTAATATAATAGTAGTTGATGCCTGTGACTTATGATTTATTATTGTAATAGTAGTTGATGCCTGTGACTTAATTAATCCAAGTTCTTGCTTGGTATACCTTTCTTTCCAGAGTGTCATAAACAGTCTGTATGAGAGCGCCAAGTGAACATCTGATGATATGCATGAACACTTCCGGAGACGAGCATTGTGGTATCCCGTTGTACTCTTATCGTATATTATCAAGTGTTTGATGATACAGTAACAGATAGACTTGTCCGTTATTTAAGACCATTCTTTACATTTAATTCAAAGCAATTTTTCTTGGTGAAAAACTATTGGTGAAGTGTCATGTCCGATTATTTGGAATTAATTCTCTATGAGATCACCAGATGTATTGCTTTCTTTCTTTTGCGCGTTTAATTCGCAGCCATTTTTCTTGTGCTTAATTATTATGTTCGAGTCTTTTTTATTCATTTCTTATGAGTTCTTCATCAACGTACTGTTACGTGGTCGAGCGGTTTAATTTAATAATAAAAATATTTTTTAAATAAAAATTGGGACCCCTTTAGATTAATTTTTTCGGGTTGGATGGTCGATTTGCCTTTCTTGGATTCTGATTGGGCTCCACAAAGACGGCATAAACTACAACCGTACGATGAAAAGAGAAAGCGGTAAGATTTCGGTTCTTTTATTACCCTCGAACGACTCCATGTAATCGTCTCCGAGGCAGAGTTAAGGATCACTTACCATCTTCCACGTGGCTTTCCAGGTCGGAACGGATCGATAAAGCGGCGCCGAAGAACCCTTCACGGCTTCCGAAGCTCGACTCCGCCATGCGTTGCGCTCTTCCCCTTCCCGCCAAAATCTATCCTCAAAACCATTCCCACCCTTACTGCCAGAGAAATCCCACCGTCGCCGCCTCCGTCACCTCCCCCCCTCCCCGAATTCCCACCAAACATCCTTCCCTCGAGCCCCTCAAACACCGCCTCATCCGCCTCGCCGATGCCGGCCGCGTCGACGATGCCATCTCCACCCTCGACCTCATGTCCGATCGCGGCGTCCCCGCCGACCTCGTCTCCTACTCCGTCCTCCTCAGGTCCTGCATCCGCTCCCGGGATCTCGTCCGCGGCCGCATCGTCCACCGCCGTCTCCAGGATTCGGGCCTCCGGCTCGACTCTCTTGTCACTAATTCCCTCATCGCTCTCTACTCCAAATGCGGTGAATGGGAGGTCGCCTGTTCCATCTTCGAAGAAATGGGGAGCAGAAGAGACGTCGTGTCTTGGACCGCGCTGATCTCATGCGCGGCGCGGAATGGGATGGAAGAGAAAGCGATTCTGCTGTTCTGCGAAATGCTCCATACGGGAATCATCCCGAACGAGTACAGCTTCTGCGGCGTGATTCAGGCCTGCTCGAAGTCAGAGCATGATTGGGTTGGAAGAGTGGTTCTCGGGTTCGTGATAAAGATGGGATTTTTCTGGTGGGATCCGTCGGTTGGATGCGCTTTGATAGATATGTTCGCGAGGAGGCAAGACCTGTCGTCCGCCCGCAAGGTTTTCGATGGAATGCACGAGAGGAATACTGTTGTGTGGACTCTCTTGATAACGAGGTACGGGCAGCACGGTCGCGGAAGGGATGCGATCGGTCTGTTCCCGGATATGCTTCACGATGGCTTCGAACCAGATCGATTTACCATAAGCAGCGTCATCTCCGCGTGCAGCGACTCGGAGTCGCTTGAATTCGGGCGGCAGATGCATTCTCTGGCCATCAGGTACGGACTGGCTTCCGACGCATGTGTTGGCTGCAGCCTCATCGACATGTACGCGAAATGCACGTCCGGGAGATCAACGGAGGATTCGAGGAAGGTCTTCGACCGGATGTCCGAGCACAATGTCATGTCGTGGACGGCTGTCATCTCAGGCTACGTGCAGAGCGGCGGGCACGACAAGGCAGCGATCGAGCTCTTCTGCAAGATGATGGAGGGAAGGGTTCGGCCGAATCATTTCACCTATTCCAGCATCCTCAAGGCCTGTGCAAACCTCTCTGACCTGCAGCTGGGGAAGCAGATACATGCGCAGGTCACCAAATCAAGCCTGGCGTATGTCAACTTTGTAGGGAACTCTTTGGTCAGCATGTACGCCCGTGCCGGTAGGATGGAAGAAGCCCGGAGAGCTTTCAGCTTACTGTACGAGAAGAATGTGGTCTCCTACAACGCAATCGTCGATGGATATGCCAAGAACTCAGACTGTGAAGAAGCCCTGGAGCTACTCTATCAGATAGAGAGCATGGATGTGGGAGCGAGTGCCTTCACGTTCGCGAGTCTCCTGAGCGCGGCGGCGAGCGTTGGGATGATGGGCAAAGGCCAGCAATTGCACGCCCAGATGCTGAAGGCAGGATTCGGGTCAGATGTGGGCGTGGGTAACTCGCTGGTATCCATGTACTCGAGGTGCGGCAGCATCGACGACGCCTGCCGAGCTTTCGGCGAGATGGGTGATCGCAACGTGATCTCGTGGACCGCCATGATCACCGGTTTCGCCAAACACGGTGATGCAGCTCGAGCCCTGGGATTGTTCCACGACATGGTGGCCACGGGGACGAAGCCGAACGCGGTGACCTACGTCGCTGTTCTGTCTGCTTGTAGTCATGCAGGTCTGATCGAAGAAGGGTGGGAGCACTTCCGCGCCATGCAAAGGGACCACGGCGTGGCTCCGACGATGGAACACTATGCCTGCATGGTAGACCTGCTGGGGCGATCGGGCCGAGTGGAAGAAGCTTTCGGCTTCGTGAAGTCATTGCCGGCCGAAGCTGATGCCTTGGTCTGGAAGACGTTGTTGGGTGCTTGCAGAGTTCATGGAGACATCGGACTGGGAGAAATCGTTGCCAAGAACATCTTGGAGTTGGCTCCGGAGGATCCAGCAGCCTATGTCTTGCTCTCGAACTTGTATGCGGAGGCAGGCAGATGGGAGGATGTGGCCATGATAAGGCGTGGCATGAAGGAGAGGAGGCTGAGCAAAGAGGCTGGATTGAGCTGGGTGGACATGGAGAACAGCATCCACAAGTTTCATGTAGGGGATACCAGTCACCCACAGGCTCGGGAGATCTACGCCAAGTTGGATGAACTGTTTGCTGAGATAAAGGAAATGGGTTATGTGCCGAACACCAACTTCGTTCTGCACGACGTAGAGGAAGAGATGAAAGAACAATACCTGCTTCAGCACAGCGAGAAGATTGCAGTTGCCTTCGGCCTCATCAACACTTCAGCGCCAAAGCCTATTCGGGTATTTAAGAATCTTCGCGTCTGTGGAGATTGTCACGACGCAATCAAATATATCTCAAAAGCTACTGGCAGAGAAGTTATTTTGAGGGATTCTAACCGGTTCCATCATATTTGTAACGGGGAATGTTCCTGTGGTGACTACTGGTGAGATCATGCGGTTCTTTGGTTGATATGTTGTCTCCGTGTATAAATTTTTTGTACTGGAGTGATTTATGTAATTATTTTATTAATAAAGTGCCAGCTTAATTTTTTTTAATCTCTAATAAAGATGAGCAAATGTGGGATTGATCAATGATGGTGAATTTTAACCTGAGCTTGAGGTCTGTAGGGAAGACGAATGGGAAGAGCTGCCGCCAGATCTGCACCGTCCATGAAAACAGAAGAAACGTGGTAAGCCAACTCCGTTCACCAAACGAGAAAGAGGGCGTACCTCAGGTCCTGCTAACTTTGTGCCAAATCCAGCAAGTGCCTCTGCTGTCAGATCCAAGAATAGAGAGAAGAGTGGGACGCGTTCATGAACAAAACAAAATACTTTAGTACATCATTATAATTTTTACTTCAATATTTGTATATTTTGCGGATGTTTTTGTTTCGAATTATTCTATTCTCAATTCTGTTGGACCCAAACCTAACCCTAACCTAGACATAATTGACACCACAAACTATTAGGCATGAAACATGATTGTTAATCTTACTTCCTCTTCAAGCTCCTTTGCTAGCTTATTTAGATCATGCAGTCTGTAGAGTTATCCAGGTAAGAGATGCACCTCCAATAATTCCTCCGTGTGTATTTGATTCTATCTATCATCAACAAGCCGGTATTAGTAAGCAGATCTTTATAGAAATTTATCGGTGTCACAGACAATGCACCTATCAGACTGTAATGAACTTACCCCTTCAGATCACACTTCTGATGTTAGGGATGTCTCGTATGATGAAGTTAAAACAACACAAACATTTACATCAAATTAGAACAGTTCCAACAAATCCATGTCTTAGCTCAATCCATGGGGTAAAGAACATTATCCGTGAGAAGTCGACACCACTCCATTTAGTAGTATGCGGCGTTCCAACAACTACTTGTTATTTATGCTTCAATATATTTTTTAAATATATTGTGGATGTTTTAAATTTAGACCGTAACATATCCTTGTATGGTTAGTTACTTTGTATGCATAACAATAACCTTAGATTGTTACCACATACATATAGAGAAGCTGTTAAAGGAGCAAATTACTAAATAATTTTACACTTCACAAATTTGCTTTCATTACAAACTTACAGGAAGGAAATATGATTGCTCATCTTACTTCTCTTCAGTTCCTTTGGTAGCATATTTAGACCATGCAAAGCTGGAGTTGATGAAGATGAGAGCTGCAACCCCAACAAGTCCTCCATGCTGTACTTGATTCTTTCATCTATCCAGAAATTTTAATATCATAAAAACATTTATAAGCACAGCTAAAATACAAGAAAGCAAGAGTACAAGTAAGCAAATCTTTAGAGAAAGTTGTTGATTTTACCTACAAAGCACCCATCATACTCTTCAGATCTCACTTCTGATGTTAGGTACGTTTTATGTAATGAAGTTGAACCAGCAGAAACATTTTCATCAATTGGAACCGTTCCAACAAGTTCATGTCTTAGCTCAATCTGAGGGTGTCGTTTACAGAATGATGAAAAAACATCCTCAATCAAAAGCCAACACCCCCTCAAATCTAATGTATGAAGTGCCTTTGGAGGCACAAAAAGAAGAAGCCCAGAATTGCTGAGTACAGCATTGCGAAATCCAAGATACTCCAAGCTAGAGAATGATGACAAAATATGCAAGGAGACATCAGAGAGTAAATCACTCTTCAGATATAGGCATCTCAATTGTTTCAAGAAAACCAAGGGAAGTAATGCTTCATCTTCTACTAATGTATCTTCCAAATTTAAACTTTCCAGGTGACTGAGATTCTGAAGCAAGCTTAATGGGAATGTCTTCTCTAGATTGTCTTGACTTTTTTCATAAGCGAAACCTGATATTTGAAAAGATGGTATACAAGTGCATGTACCAATAAAAAATTCTAAGTTATGAAATGCTAAAAAGAAACCCCAGTTATCATACCTTTTATTTTTGTTCGGCTTAAATCAACAATCCTCAAAGAAGGCATCAATGCGATATAGGAAAGTGCAACATCATCAACTGATGTATTTGACAGATACAGGGTTTCCAAGTTGATGACATTTCCAGCCAAAACACATATTCCCTGGGATGTGAGCTTGCTATTGCTGGCATTCAAGAATTTCAAACCTTTCCCAGCTTTTGCAATGTATTCAACTGAATCATCAGTTATTCCACAGAAGCTAACATCCAAGTGCTCAATCATGTCCATTTTGACCAAAAAATGCAAATTGCAAATAGAAGAGCTAGAAACATCCAAGTACATTACATGGCTAGTATCTATGATGGAAAATACTTTGTCAGCATCAACAAAAGTGGCTCCAAGACCAAAAAGCTTCAGTAAAGGGGCACTTGTGCTGCCTTTTCCATAAAATATAGAGCAAATGGTGCAATTACTCATATTCAAACATGTTATAGAAGGAAGATATGGCAACTCGGTGACCTCTGTCCATGCTATATTTAAGAAGCTCAACTTGGGAAACATTTCAAGGACAGGAACTCCTCTGTTCGAAATTTTACTACCCCATAGATCCAGATACTCAAGATTTGTCAAAACCTACATAACATATTGCATGCTTGCTGTAGTTAATAATCAAAAGGATGATGTGCAAAAGCATTTTGTGTTCCATTCAAAGAACCAATATAAGTTACCACATATACTTAAGGTTTTAAACACCGATAGAATGAACTAAGCACTAGATCAGTACAATACCATATAAGTTGATGATGATCAATATTAAATTCTTATTGTTTCTTCAATGACATTGGACTTTACAGGTATGTCTGCTGATCAATAAATTGGTACCATATTGGTATAACTGATTGTCAAAATCGATATCTTACCAATATTTAAAACCTTAATATAAGCTAATTTAAATCATTCATTAAGATATGTAAAACATTTTTATTGGTTTAGTGGTGACACATCCTCTCTCTCTCTCTCTCTCTCTCTCTTGAATTTAGGGATTTTTCTAATCTCTTCTCTGGTGGCTTTTTGCAGTATCTCCTCTTTCCTTATCCTCCCTTCTCCATGAAAACCCTATCCTTAAGGCCATTCACATCTCTGACAAGGTGCTTCCTCTGTTGAGAACAGGATCACGGTAGCAGAAAGGGACAGAAGTACCTGCCTTAACATGTTCTCTTCCTAGAAATGTTATCAGCTGTTACATGGATCTACACCATTTAACAGGAACTTAGCACTCAATGGTTTCAAACATTCTCACTGCACCAAATCACCTGTGACCAAATATATCTAGACAGAGAAAAGCAAAGCTAACATACCAAATAATATAACTGAAAAATTAAGAAGAATGCTGCAACATAGCATACATACTAGCACGACATGCATGTAAATTTCATCGTTCTGAGAGTAAATATCTTCAACATAATAAATGGCAGGTTAAACATATTTACCTGTAATGAACAAAGTGCCTCATCAGTAATGGAAATTCCTCCTAAATCCAGTAGATTCAGATTTTGAAGTGAAGAAAGGAGAACAACTCCATTAGAAGTTAATCCAGTCTCCGACACATGTAGTTTCTCCAAATTTTGAATGGCCAAAACATGCTTAATGCCAGCATCAGTAATCTTAGAGCACCTTGACAAGTCCAACTCTTTTAAATTATTCATTCCTAATAGAAATAGTTTTTTAAAAAAAATGTCATGCCCTTACTGATAAGACCAAAAGAAAATGTCCAAACCGAACAAACATGTTTAATCAGTGCTGTTAGTTTTGATAATATTAACTTCCCAGGAATAGATAATGATACCGATTTTGCTGAATAAAAAAAGATGAAAGAATAAATAGATGTCCTAAATTACACATTATTAAAGCAAAGATAACCCTGTTCACATCTTTGAAGGTCTCCATACATCTGGACAGCCCACAACTGTGAATATTCTTCTTAATTGGAAAGCTCAGTATAGGCTTAGGAAGCTAGGAAGCTGAGGAAATAGTTAACTTCCTGTTTTGTGATCCACGTCAAACTTGAACGGCAGTACACATGGAAGAGATGTCACAGGGGCCACGGGAGATGGTGTCAACAATTTCGAATGGGAGAGCTGAAGGTATAAATGCACCGTTGAGTAATAGGAGGATGTGTTAACCTGCAATTTGTAGGTGCTATATAAAAGAGCTGAAAGTGTGTGACATTTAAGAGTGGGAGGATCCAATGTGCTTAAGAAAGTCAAAATTCAATTCAATTGCATGCACTAAAACCATGTTGACTATGAGAGGGCATATGTACCTCGAATTCATGGCATCTCAGAATATGCCAAACATGTTGGCTTTACATTCATAAAATCTTCTGCAGACTAAGATTGGACAAATTTTGCAAATAGATCATAGGGACTTATATGAAGGTTCTTGTCTAGCAATTCTCAGTTGTCCGAATTAGCAAACCAAACAAGTTTTCTCTTTTGGTTTTTCCGTAACAGGTTATCCACTCACCCAGCTCCTAATGAAGCCAACTAAAATAAGAAATAATTGGGAGATGAACAGACTATACCATGCCATAAGCAGCCAAGCATCTAAAGTTCAAAATTTTTCATATAGTTTGACAAAGATGAATTGCTTCACTTACTCCTTATAGAGATATTCACTGCATAAGGTATAACTAAGTGCTGCCTTGAGAATACTAGTTGGAAAACAATATAAGCAATGCATTCAAACGGATCCAGAGCTATTAATAGGACCATCAACAAATGAACATCTGCTATTCTGACTTAGGTAATGACATATAAAAGTAAAAAAATTAACTATTCTTCCATTTGTTCCAGTGTGAGCTAAGATTTGGTTACAATAAAATGCACCAAGACTATTGTTATCCCTTAGAGAAATGAAGAGTCTTATGATCTGGTTTTGGAACATAGTAGGATACATCAAATATACCGCTCAACATTCTGTATGACCATAATACTTGTAGAAAACAAAGATGTTAATATTGTACATTGCACTATCATAAAATGTGGTGTATCCTCCAAAGATTGTACCTGAAAGATACCATATTGCAGAATTGTTGACTGCCCTGCAGTTGGCAAGATTCAAACGACGTAAATGACGAAATGCACCCAAATATGCCAACCACTCCACATCAACCGAGCTCTCACCTTTCAAGTCAATCTCCTCTGCAGAATTCTGAAAAATTCTGCACAAGAAAGGAAATTTACTCTCAATAATTTTAGAGAAAAAAGTGAAGAAATGGGCTATAGCATTATCAGGCCCAGAGAGTTCCAGTAGTATGCAATGTAGATATGCACCAATACATAATTGAAGAGGATGATTAAGTCAATCCGGTAGATCATGTCCAATAACAAGAACATAGCACGAGGACTTTCTACAGTTTCTAAGCAGAAGAAAGCCGAACCTTTTCAGCTATTTATATCTACAACAAAACTGTCTGCAATAACTTATTACTACTCATAAATGATCCCTCCCTAATAAATGCAACAGCAATGAGTGTTTATAAAAGAGTTGAAAATTATGTTTTTATCCTGATCTAGATGCTTGATTGACCACAAATGTCACAAGAAGCAGCAGATTGGATAATTGACCTGTTAACTTCGTTGAGCCCAAACCAAACCACTGATCAATCAAAATACTAAGGCTCAAGTTAACAAAAATATACCCATTAAACCCTTATAAGCTTATCTTAGTTTTAACTGGCTTCCGATATGAGACTAATCGGGGCATTACAAACTCTCCCACTTATGGAATTGATGTCCTCGTCAATTGAGGTATACTCTGAACCCATCCAGAGGGGCCTTTCCTACTAGGGCATCTTACATACCAATGGACAGACATGACCTGATCTGATAGAATATGCCCCTTGTAAGCTTATCTTAATCTTAGCCTACTTAGCCTTCATCTATAAATCTACACCAAGTAAGCTCAACACGCCATCTTAATCCATATAATGCAGTTAGAGTCGGTCGCCCACTTCCAAGGCCATAACCCTGACCCCCAACTTTCAAAGATTAAATCCTTGGCAAGAAATTGACAAAATAAACCCGATTATTGAGACAAAAGAACAACAAATTTCACGAAGAAGGATTAAGAGAGGACATACTCGAGCCAGGAGGGGTAGAGGAGGATGCGGCGTTGGATAATGCGTCGGAGGAGGGCGTCAGCGAGGTAGGAGGGGAGGAGATCCAGGGTTCGCCGCTGCCTCCGCCACCTCTCGACGCTCTCCGCGCTTGCGGTCGCCGCATCGATGCATCTTCCCACCAATCCCCCCACGAGTTCCGGGTCGCCGTCCATCGTCCTTCTCCTCGCCTTTTCGCCACTTCGCCTCGGAGCGAGAGAAGAAACGGGAGAGGAGAAGGGAGAGAGAGACACAAGATGGAGACGGACAGGAGTAATTAGAATTGGCCATCTCGTGGGGCCCGCTTCGCGGCAAGCTGTTCCCAGAATTTATAACAACCAAACGAATCATCTCGTAACGATTATTTGAACCGTTATATTGGAACGTTATTGATAAATGACACAGATACCATCACCAGTTAGACATAGTAATCTCGCCTGTTCTATAGGCCACGGTTGCTTAATGATTACTTCTCCTCTAAGCAACACGTAAAGCCATTGGTTGCTTGACGATTACTTCTCCTCCAAGCGAAAGGTGCCACATCAAGCCGTCGCAGTCACGGAACTCGGGTCGAGCACCTTGCGCGCACAAAGCCACTCAGGCACAAGCATAGAACTAGAGGTGTTAGAACACTGGAACTCTCGCAGTGCATATAGCATTGAACGCTCCAAATCTATCTATATAGTATGCTTAAACTGTTTCTCTACACTTAAAGCGATGCACAGTTCCCCGCCAACACAAACTGGATTTGAGAAACTATTGCTTGTGCGCTAGACAGCATCATGAGTAAGCTGAAACAAAGTGTAGTATCAAGCACACCTTGCAATCCATCTATCAATGTCAATAAGCAATAATTATTGGGAGGAGACAACCACCTTGTGAGTCTTCAGCCCCATCACCACCACGCTAACATTGTCAAAACTGCTTGAGAAGGTAGTCTCCTGCACAAGTTCAGCGTCGAAGAAACAAAGAATATGAAGAGAAATTACAAAGTCTTTAAGATAGTTGAGGCAGACTAATCAATGGTAGTCTCAACTAGCCTTCTCATGCAGTACTGGGATCTAAACTCTTTGGTTACTGGTTTTGATTTGTCGATTCCCATCAGTCGATGATTAAAAGAGGATGAGCTTTTCCCTCTCTTCCCTTTGTGAAGTAATGATCTTTATCGACAGAAACCAATCTGTCAAATTTTATCATGGTTGAACATAAGATTTGGTATTCCAAAATAACTAATTGAACGAATGTATTTATCGATGTCGTCAATTAAGTATGAATGTTACCAAAGGACCTAGAAGTGGATAATACACCTACTAAGACACAACAGTCCCAATAAAAGATTCTTCCACTCTTATGAGCTCATCTGGCCTGTCAGGCTTTTAGGAAGAAGCCAATCATTAGTATCGATGTTTTTTTGTTTGTAAATTCATTAGTATTTTCTTAAGTGTACACACTTTGAGAACAAACACCAAGTATTTAGTTCTAGATTAAGAAATGAAAGACAGGTACTTACTGACAATCACAAAACCTCATATATCATTTTGCTATTTCATGTTTGTTATAGAAAAAAGACATACCATGTGTATTTTTATGAGCTTGTATCAATGACGAAACCCACAGAGCAATTATTCAGGCTTAAGTTGCATAAACTGTAGTGCTTAGAATGGTGGAAATGGATACCTATTACATCCACACAATAACAGCAGGGTCATGAATTTGCTATGTGATTAATCACTCTGTATGAAAATGAGAACAAATTGAATTTCTAAAGATACACAAGCTGCAATGAAACCAGAAAGACTAACTAGATAAACGTGGTACCTTGATAAAGAATTGAGCTTGCCAATTGTAAAAAGGTTGCATGATAGCCTAAAGAAACACAAATTATTGGTTGAATTAATGCCAACGTGATCATAAAAAAATTTCAAACTCCTTGCAGGACAGAGGCAGAAGAAATTCTCATGATCATGTTGGATATATATATATATATATATATATATATACATCCAGAAATTATTGCAATCCACATATGCAATGAACACAGATGAAAGTGTAGTGTTTGGGCCTAAGTAGTTCCAAGGGTGGTACAAAGCACATGAACATTCCCATGCAAATCACCTACTGTTGCTTCAGTTGTTAATTTGTATTCATTATCAAATCATAAGCTTATACTGGAAGCTTTAAACAAAGCTGATTGAGATGTGTTAAGAGAGCAAGAATAGAACTAAATAATGGAAAGATATCAAAAACATGTAGACACTCAAGAAAAGAAAAAAAAGAAACACTGAATATATCTAATGGTTTAAATTTAAAAAAGGGATCACTGGATGCATCTAACCAGTTTAAGTTGTAGTAAATGACAACATAACCTCCAAACTTGTGGAGGCAAAACTTTGCAGTGGCATGTTCCAATGCATGAATGAGGTTAATTTCACTAATTTGGATAAATCAAAAAGAGTATCAAAGGCTATATTTGAAAGGCGGAGAGCATCTGCACATGTCGTGTGTTGCATAGCTGAATAAGAGCTATGTCGATCCAAACCGAATCTTGGCCAAAGGCAATCCAAGGATGGGTCACGACAATGCATAGCTTTGCCCTGACTGAACCTTTTTGTCTTCAGATTTACCCAATGATGCTAACAACAAATATGGAAGAACAATCTCAATTGACGTATATGACAAATGAAATTATCGAATGCCAGATTTCAAATGCTGATTAATCAATTATGTATTGTGCAATTATTTAAAGGAAATTATTTGTCAAGCTTTCGTTTCTTCATTTAGTATTAAATTGGTCTGCTGCCATGTTTTTAGCATTCACCAATCTGTGGGATCGTGTTTCTTTGCCGATTTCCTTTGTCATTATAATTTAACAAACTCCTCTTCCACATTCTCAATGTTCATTGGTCCATTAGATTGCAAGCAAATGCTTCTTTGTTGAACTTCCCTTTTTCTTTTTGAGAATTCATCAACGATGGCCTCGTATTTGTTGTTCATTACTCAATTCGATTGCAAGAAACACTTCAGCTAATAATTCTTTTTCTATAGTTTCTTTCTTTTTTAGCATTTCATCTTACAAAATCAAACAAGTCAACATACAAGTCCTGGCTCACATAATGGAACAGAGGGTGTTGCAGACTTTAACAGCTTTAACATCAATTTCTCTCTCTTTTTTTAATTTCTTTTAATTGTACAAATGAAGTTAATCCACACATATGAAGAATGTAATCGACTGGTTAACTGGTAAGCCCTGAAAGCCAAAATGCAGACTACAAACTAACAACATATCAGAACCCGCACTTCCGAAATCATAGACCACTACCATTTTGGACCCAACAGAGTCACTTGTAGAGCTGTTTGATTAATGAATTAGCCTTCTTTTCTTACAAGGAAATATGCAAATGTTTTTTGCTATATAGTATGAACTTCTTAACTCTAAAAAAGATTCCCAAACCCAGTCTCTGTTATCTCTGCTATCATCTATGCATGATACTGCATCTAATCCAGATGCAGTGTCTACCTCCCTAAAGGAATACAGGAACATGCACTTGCTAGAAATCATGCCATGCAAGGCCATTGCAGCAATAAAGAGAACTTATACCAAGGAAATGGTATCAATACATGTCCTAGAATTCTTTGTAGAAACTTGCTACAATATATTTGCACAATGGGTCCAGCCTCAAAATACTAATCTACATTTCTAGTAAAACAAACAAACAGCAGAAGTCGATAGCAAGAGGAAACGAGGAGCATTTCGGGTTTGAACATGACGACAACATCATATAAAGCATGAAAATATAGATACATTGTACCATAAGTGCTCCAATTCTGCAATAAATGAGTAAGAATGCACCACAATAAAGATGAAGATGAGGATAAAATGATACTTAAATGCTGAGGATAAAGTAATATGGAAGCATTAAAAATGAGAGCTCTTTCTTGTGAGATAAAAAGGGAAGGAAGAAGCGGACCTTGATGGATAGAAATGGGACACGGCCACCCCGCCGCGTGAGAGCACCGTCCGGGAGTTGCCGCATGTGGCCACCATGATCCACTTGTCTCCCACCACCAACCCCTGCTACAGCTCCGGGGCCTCCAACATCACCTCGGCGTCCACCTTCACGCCCACCTCCACGTCTCACCCCCCTCACCCACCAGGGCGGCCCTCCGTCACAGCCACCTGCAGCCGGTCCCGGCACGCCCGCGCCACCATCGCTCCCCCGTGCCCATTGTACACCGCGAACTACCCGTACCCACCTGCCGAGAAGCCCGTCACCTCCGTCATCGTGTCCTCCATGTCCCTCCGCCTCCCCAGTAGCGACACCGACCCGTGCGACAGGGTCTTCCCCGGCGCCAGTGTCCGCGGAGGGCGGCGAGGGGATGATCGAGGAGGAACGGTAGTTCTCTCCCTCCGCTAGGGTCCGCTTGGGGGCATCGGAGTTCCGGCGGCGGATGGGGTAGTGGTGGTGGTTGGGTCAGGCCCCTCCATGAGGAAACCTAAGCGAGGAGGCCCCTCCGACTCCGACTGTGATTGCGATTGCGACGCCATCCTATAGTGGCTGTCGGGGCTGCTGGCCGTTACGCTTGGGGGTTTCATGTGCCGGAGCGCACGCGGCTTGACCCCTCTATTCCATGATACAACACCAGAAGGCCGCAACCACCGACCGTCGGATTGCCACGCGATCCACACGATCCCGCCCGCGTGTATGGGGCCCGTCAAGGGTCCAAGCCCCGCGACGTGGATCCGCGGGCGGGGGGACGCGGACGACGGAGGAACGTCGGTCCTTGGCGATTCGGACTTCTACCGAGTCGCCTCAGGGAGGAGCGAGGAAGAGCGTGGACATTAGCGCTCTAGGGGATTGGACGGCGGATGATGGGGTGTCGGTCGGCGTGGGGAGGGCTCGCGACGGTTACTGAAACGGGCCGGAAATGCACGCCGCCCCTCTCTTCTCCTAGCGAGCGAGAGAGACGACGGAGGTTTGTTCACGGACGCCGTGAAGCGTACACGGTGCCGTTACGATCTTTATAGTGTAGGCTTCACGGTAACGATAGTATACTCGAGAGACAATATAAAGAACGTAACGACACGGTGTACGCTTCACGGGGTACGTAAATGACAGAAAAAACAGACCGCCTATGTCTCTTTCTCGCGAGGTCAACGCAGAGGGGATCCGAGTCAACATCATCATACATGAAGATTGGCTCCCGATGATACAAAATCCTATGAAAAAAATTGAGTCTTTCTCTTATTTATATGAAGAAAAACAAAGAAAAGAGTTGTCTGATTAAGTACAAGTTCCTAATAAAAGCTGCTAAGCTAAGATTACAGAAAGCGCAAAGGAAGTGCGCATGGCGATCTCTCCACATGACGTGATCCACTGCTGGAGGACGACGCGGTCGGCTTCCCAATGGCGAAGCAAAGGTCGCCTCCTCGACGGAAGGCCCACATCTCTACCTCGTTGCCCGCTTTTAGGAAGCTCCATAGCGCGAAGTACTTCAGCTCGTCGCCCTTGATGACGGTGCCCGCGCTGCCGTCCCAGCAGGTTAGCTTCAGGTAGCACCGGAACCTGCACCTGGTGAACACCACCACGGGCAGCCCGCCGTGCTCCCTTCCCGACACCATCGCCTTCCGTTTCTCTGCCTTGACTCCCTCGGTCACCCTGCTCCTCTTTCTGTCGTCGCCGACGAGGCTGGCGGATTCCCTTTCCAACTCCGAGAGCATGGGGACGAGGTTGGCCTTGACGAAGTCCTTGGGGAGGTAGAAGCGGTTCTGTTGCCGGACCAGGTCGGACTTCTCGATGGTCTTCTCGGCAATGAAGTGGATGTCGGTGCCGCCCTCCGCCGTCACCAATTCGGTCACCCACTTGGGCACGATACGCAGGCGGTACATGTCTCTGGCGACCTTCTTGCGCTTCTTCGACGTGCCCTCGCCGGGCGACGCGGGGGAATTAGGCGGCGGCGGCGGCGGCAGGGGCTCCTCTGGCCCCTCTGTGGCCTCGCTGTTGGACTCGGACGTGACGGCTCCCATGGATGGATACCTTCGGCTTCTACCTTTCTCGAAGCAAAGGAGGGAAGATAGAGAGTGGAGAAGAAGGCAGCGATGGATGGACACCATCACTCAACGTGTGTGTTTATATAGGGATAGAAGAGACGCATGAGAATCCGAAGCCGAGGTTGATTTCTACTCGGACTCCGCTTTGCATTGTCCGAGGAAGCACAAATCGTCTTCGGAAAAGGAAACCGAGTGTGGATCGAAGTCTTCAACGGTTGGGGTGAGTGATTCCTTTTCCTTTTTCGAAATTAGATTCATTTATGTTGGATTTCTGGTGGGTGAATAAATACTATTATATCCAATAGAAAAAAATTGGTGGTATTGTTTGCTACATGAAAAAGTAGACTGAATAATAATAATCTCTGAGAAGAAAAGAGAGCAAGCAAATTAAGTCCCATTCGTAGAATGAAAGAGAAGATGGAATAGTGGCGACAGAGAGACCAAAGAATGTTTTGACTAAATCGTATCGTAAGTATGATTCGATTGGAAGTGCAACGAAGAATATCAAACATTACTCCATGTTTGTAAACCAAAATATTAGTGGTGAGCTCCTTCAAACAACACAAATGTGAGATGACTCTGAACAACCAGGGCAAGTACTTTTAGTGTTGTGAAAAATGAAAGATGACTTGGGGCTTCACCTCCCATGCAGGGAAGACACCATTTTCTATTGTGCTTCTTTCGAATCATTCCTATCCCCTATTCACGATTCTTCTTTCTGAAGACAATGTCCTCGAAAGATAAAAGCATCTGTGTCTCTCGAAACTAATCTCAGAAGCTAGCCTATCTATACCCATAGTTAATTCATATAACCCTAACCCATATGGTTTCTTCAAATCTCACTGATGTGGGAAACAACTTTGAGCCGTGACCTCGGGGTCGACACGGCTCGGTTCGGATCCGGACGATGGGGATCTCCCTGGGGCGCTCCTCGAGCCCGCTGAGGCGGTCGGGTGCGGTGTCCGATCGGGACGGTGTAGCCATCTCCTCCGGGCAGGAACTCCTCGCCTACGCGTCCAGAGGGGACCTTCGGCTTCGCACCTGCACAAACGTCGAGCCGAGGCTCTCGGCCCGACCCTTCCGACGATCAAGTTAGCTGATGTGGAGGGGGTTTCAAATGAAGAAGGGTTTTTGTGTGTCCATCCCCCCTCTTTCTAATGAACGAGAGGGTATTTATAGGGAAGCATACTGCTTCCTGAGCTGCCCGCTTGCAGGGGACAGGCTGGTAGCGTCTAACTTTGTGTTGGCGTGACGTGAAGAATTGAGCTTTGGCAGGATGTTAATGTGTCTCGATCGGCGTTCCGATCTGCATTAACCAGGTGCTGTTGCATAAGGCGTCGTCTGACGTCGACCGAGTCTTATCATAATTACTATCCTCATCACTCACCATCCTTACTCTCCCAAGATGAATCTAATTCTAACCTCAACCTATCAGAAACTTAACGTTTCAATAGATCAGAAGTGAAAACCAGACAATAATATATTCCATTTGAATTATTTGATTAAAAACTAGTAGGAAATTATGCTCCCTTGTTATTATAAGTTTCTGAAAATTTTCTTTTAATATTCTATCATTTTAACCATGAGTAAAAGAACTTTGACAGATAACAATATCCCTCTCATATATCAACACGTTGTCGTGTTCCATAATTAGCCATCAATCTAACATTCATTAATTATTTCATCTAGTAACATGTTTTATCTTAGTATCAAATTAATGATAAGAAAAAGTTAAACTTTTGAATTTTACAGTATTTTCAATGAGCGATTCAAAATCATCTTTTACAGTGAGTTGCAAAATGTTAACTCAATTTTGTTACCGAAGATTCTCACCATAAAATTATGGAACAAAATCAAAAAATGCAATTAGAGAAATAAGATATATGAAAATTTTAACATAAAAATTCCTATCCACTTGATAAGCTTAGAAAGGTTACGAAGAAGATGCTCTTGTTTTTGTCACCTATACCGTTCGTAACGATGTATTCTCTCTCTTAGGCTCTTATGAAGGGATCGGTGAGACATCTATTGCTCCTTTTTAGTCTCATTTCTTTTATTCTGACAGTAGTCATTTCTTCTATTTTGACAGTAGTTGATTATAGTTATGTATGGAATAGCAAAAAAAAAAAAAAGTTTACCAACTTTGGATTTAACTTGTATATCTTTTATAAGTGAATCAAAGGATACACTTTTTTATACTTCTTGTTGTTTTGATGTCATTAACGGTGGAATCGACATGATCCAACTCCATCCCGAACGCATAAGTTCATTCGAGAGATTCATGAGGATCACGTGAGGGTGATTCGAGTGGAAAGCAAACCTGGTTGATACAATCCCGATGTGTTGCTTATTCGTTGCGACGGATTTAGTGTTGTCTTGAGGTATTGCTTATTCATTGAGATAGATTTAGTGTTGTTCAAGATGTGCTTTAGTCTCACCGAGATCCATATACAAGTGATCAGCATCGGGAGAATGTTCGATACCTAAGTTAGTATGGAAGTGAGGAAAGAGTTGAGTGGAGTTTTGTAGTATTTCACTTTGCCCCCTTTTAGATTTTAGGGGTTGACTTTTATACTTAAGTGATCGGTAGTATAAAAGTTAACTATAGGTTAGGATACCCCTTACATCGTCGAAGGCTGATTAGTGAGTATATCTCTCAATGGGTGACGTTAGGAAAGTATGGGCTCCTCCGCCATTGCCTAGGTGACAATTTTTTTTTTTTTTGAAAGATTGAGTTTACATGATTTTCCGTATCAATACTAATATCTTAACATTGTAAAACAAGAAGAAAACGAAAGGAATAAACAGGATTTGCCATAAAGTCATTTCACGAAGCTACATCAAGTGTGGATAAAAAGGCAACAGTTTCAAAGAGATTCATGTGAAAGATTGGTGAATGCATTGCACAATTAAAGATGGACACTCATAGTTGTTAAAAGGCCACTTATATATGTTACATGAAGTATATAAAGCAAATATCTCTGATTTGGAACACAGATAAAAAAAATGTATTCACAATCGTGAGTATGATAAGTGATGAAAGTAGCGGACCTGTATATTGCCAATGAGAAGCGCTTGTTTTTTGCAAGTACCGAATCGGGCTCTGGGAGGAGCGAGGAAGAGCATGGAGATTAGCACTCTCGCGATGGTTACTGAAACGGGTCGGGAATACACACCGCCCCTCTCTTCTCCTAGCGAGCGAGAGAGACGAAGGAGGTTTGTTCACGGACGCCGTGAAGCGTACACGGTGTCGTTACGATCTTTATATTGTATGCTGGTTCCACGGTAACGATAGTATACTCGAGAGATAATATAAAGAACGTAACGACACGATGTACGCTTCACGGGGTACGTAAATGACAGTAGAACTAGACCTCCTATATCTCTTTCTCGCGAGGTCCACGCATAGTGGATCCGAGTCAACATCATCATAGATGAAGATGGGCTCCCGATAATACCACCTAAAATATTTTTGTTATTTATATCAAGAAAAACCTAGTAGATGGGCTCTTATAATAATATATGAATAAAATCATATGAAAAAAAATGAGTCTTTCTCTTATGTATATCAAGAAAAACAAAGAAAAGAGTTGTCTGATTTAGTACAAGTTCCTAATAAAAGCTGCTAAGCTAAGATTACAGAAAGCGCAAAGGAAGTGCGCATGGCGGTCTAAACATGCAGTCATTTAAATTCCCACTTTTGAGTGCTTCTCTTTTGTTGCGTCCACAAAACTTTTGCTCATTAAAAAAAAACAAAAAAGACAATAAATCAAGTTTGCCTTTCTTTTTGTTTATTTGCAAAAAAAGAAAGTAAAGCTCAATGGGGACTTTTTGTGGAAATTATATAATCGTTCAATGTTTGCTTTTGTTGTGGAGAATGGAAGCTAGTTTCTCAGCATCCCCCCTTGACTCGAAGAGAGAGATGTTGCTGAATCTTCGTGAACCTTCAGTTTCAGAGCCACCAGAATATTGGGAGGGGACACCACCACCGGATCAGCTAATGATGCATTTAGCGTCCGCCTGGGGTCTCAACCAGCAACAGCTTATTAATGGAATCTACGAGAAAAAATTTGGAGCTTTTCTGGCAGAAATGTGATGACACTTATGAGGAGTCACTCGTTCTTTACCAATCATCTCTGTTGATTTGTGTACAAAATTACTTTTTTGTTGAGCTGAGAAGAAAAACAAATCAGGGAAGCCACCACGGAGAGATGCTGCTTTCCTGATCCATGTAGAGCAGATAACTTTGGAAATCTTGTTGCTCGGGTTGCTGTTGGTGGTGGTGGAAAACGTAGATATCGATGAACAATATTATTAAGGAAACTTCCTACTTGTTCTGTTGTGTTACCTCCGACACTGGAATTTCCAAGTAACTCGACAAAAGGCATTTGATTGGTTGGATCAAAGCAACCACCCTCATCATGTGCATCTGCTATTCGAATCTAGAAGAAAGACTCGGGGGTGTACATCCTATCCACATTTCACGTCGTCAGCTGTTGCAGAGTTCAATGCATATCCCGGAGACCGGCCTAACTTTGCCAACTCACATCATAGCGAGTTGTTCTTCACAGCTGATATGTTCCTTTTTTTGTGATAGAGAGCTGCAGGAATCACCATTCACATCAATTTAAGTATGAATATTACCAAAGGACCTACAAGTGGATAATACACCTACTAAGACACAACATACCCAATAAAAGATTCTTCCACTCTTATGAGCTCATCTGGCTTGTCAGGCTTTTAGGAAGAAGCCAATCATTAGTATCGACGTTTTTTTGTTTGTAAATTCATTAGTATTTTCTTAAGCGTACACGCTTTGAGAACAAACACCAAGTATTTAGTTCTAGATTAAGAAATGAAAGACAGGTACTTACTGACAATCACAAAACCTTATATATCATTATGCTATTTCATGGTTGTTATAGAAAAGGCATATACTATATGAATGCTTATGAGCTTGTATCAATGACGAAACCCACAGAGCAATTATTCGGGCTCAAGTTGAATAAACTGTAGTGCTTAGAATGGTGGAAATGGATACCTATTACATCCACACAATAAGAATAGCGTCATGAATTTGCTATGTGATTGATTAATCACTCTGTATGAAAATGATAACAAATTGAACTCATAAAGATACACAAGCTGCGATGAAACCAGCTAGATTAACTAGATAAAAGTGGTACCTTGATAAAGAATTGAACTTGCCAATTGTAAAAAGGTTGGATGATAGCCTAAAGAAACACAAATGATATACATATATATATATATATATATATATATATATATATATATATATATACATCCAGAAATTATCACAATCCACATATGCAATGAACACAGATGAAAGTGTAGTGTTTGGGCCTAAGTTGTTCTAAGGGTGGTACAAAGCACATGAACATTCCCATGCAAATCACCTACTGTTGCTTCAGTTGTTAATTTGTATTCATTATCAAATCATAAGCTTATACTGGAAGCTTTAAACAAAGATGATTGAGATGTGTTAAGAGAGGAAGAATAGAACTAAATAATGGAAAGATATCGAAAACATGTAGACACTCAAGAAAAGAAAAAAAGAATCACTCAATATATCTAATGGTTTAAATTAAAAAAAAGGTATCACTGGATACATCGAACCAGTTTAAGTTGTAGTAAATGACAACATAACCTCCAAACCTGTGGAGGCAAAACTTTGCAGTGGCATGTTCCAATGCGTGAATGAGGTTAATTTCACTAATTTGGATAAACCAAAAAGAGTATCAAAGGCTATATTTGAAAGGTGGAGAGCATCTGCACGTCATGTGTTGCGTAGCTGAATAAGAGCTTATGTCGATCCAAAACGATTCTTGGCCAAAGGCAATCCAAGGATGGGTCACGACAATGCATAGATTTGACCTGACTGAACCTTTTGTCTTCAGATTTACCCAAATATGCTAACAACAAATATGGAAGAACAATCTAAATTGCCATATATGACAAATGAAATTATCGAATGGCAGATTTCAAATGCTGATGAATCAATTATGTATTGTGCAATTATTTAAAGGAAATTCTTTGTCATTTTTTCGTTTCTTCATTTAGTATTGAATTGGTCTGCTGCCATGTTTTTAGCATTCACCAATCTGTGGGATCGTTTTTCTTTGCCGATTTCCTTTGTCATTATAATTTAACAAACTCCTCTTCCACATTCTCAATGTTCATTGGTCCCTTCGATTGCATGCAAATGCTTCTTTGTTGAACTTCCCTTTTTCTTTTTGAGAATTCATCAACGATGGCCTCGTATTTGTTGTTCGTTACTCAATTCAATTGCAAGAAACACTTCAGCTAATAGTTCTTTTTCTATAGTTTCTTTCTTTTTTAGCATTTCATCTTACAAAATCAAACAAGTCAACCTACAAGTCCTGGCTCACATAATGGAACAGAGGGTGTTGAAGACTTGTAACAGCTTTAGCATCAATTTCTCTCTCTTTTTTAATTTTTTTTCAATTGTACAAAATCAAGTTAATCCACACATATGGAGAATGTAATTGACTGGTTAACCGGTAAGCCCTGAAAGCCAAGATGCAGACTACTAACTAACAACATATAGGAACCCGCACTTCGAAATATGCTAATGTTTTTTGCTATATAGTGTGAGCTTTCTTAACTCTAAAGGAGATTCCCAACCCCATCCTCCGTTATCTCTGCTATCATCTATGCATGATATTGCATCTAATCCAGATGCAGTGTCTACCTCCCTAAAGGAATACAGGAACATGCACTTGCTAGAAATCATGTCATGCAAGGCCATTGCAGCAATAAAGACAACTCATACCAAGGGTAACACAAAGGACATGGTATCATAACATGTCCTAGAATTCCTTGTAGAAACTTACTACAATATATTTGCACAATGGGTCCAGCCTCAACATGCTAATCTACATTTATAGTACTCAAGCAAACAAACAGCAGAAGTCGATAGCATGAGGAAACGAGGAGCATTTCGGGAATGAAAATGACGACAACAGCATATAAAGCATGAAAATATAGATACATTGTACCTTAAGTGCTCCAATTCTGCAATAAATGAGTAAGAATGCACCACAATAAAGATGAAGATGAGGATAAAATGATAATTAAATGCTGAGGATAAAGTAATATGGAAGCATTAAAGATGAGAGCTCTTTCTTGTGAGATAAAAAGGGAAGGAAGAAGCAGACCTTGATGGATAGAAAGGGGGCACGGCCACCCAGCCGCGTGAGAGCACCGTCCGGGAGCCGCCGCATGTGGCCACCATGATCCACTTGTCTGCCACCACCAACGCCTGCTACAGATCCGTGGCCTCCAACATCACCTCGGCGTCCACCTTCACGCCCACCTCCACGTCTCCGCCCCCTCACCCACCCGGGCGGCCCTCCGTCACAGCCACCTGCAGCCGGTCCCGGCACGCCCGCGCCACCATCGCTCCCCCGTGCCCGTCGTGCACCGCGAACTACCCGTACCCACCTGCCGAGAAGCCCGTCACCTCCGTCATCGTGTCCTCCATGCCCCTCCGCCTCCCCAGTAGCGACACCGACCCGTGCAACAGGGTCTTCCCCGGCGCCAGTGTCCGCGGAGGGCGGCGCGGGGATGATCGAGGAGGAACGGTAGTTCTCTTCCTCCGCGAGGGTCCGCTTGGCGGCGGATGGGGTAGTGGTGGTGGTTGGGTCAGGCCCCTCCATGAGGAAACCTAAGCGAGGAAGCCCCTCCGACTCCGAGTGTGATTGCGATTGCGCCGCCATCCTATAGTGGCTGTCGGGGCTGCCGGCCGTTACGCTTGGGGGTTTCATGTCCCGAGCGCACGCGGCTTGACCCCCCTCTATTCCATGATACAACACCAGAAGGCCGCAACCACCGACCGTCGGATCGCCACGGGATCCACCCGATCCCCCTCCCGCGCGTGGAGACCGTCAAGGGTCCAAGCCCCGCGACGTGGATCCGCGGGCGGGGGGACGCGGACGACGGAGGAACGTCGGTCCTTGGCGATTCGGACTTCTACCGAGTCGCCTCAGGGAGGAGCGAGGAAGAGCGTGGACATTAGCGCTCTAGGGGATTGGACGGCGGATGATGGGGTGTTCGTCGGCGTGGGTAGGGCTCGCGACGGTTACTTAAACGGGCCGGGAATGCACGCCGCCCCCTCTCTTCGCCTAGCGAGCGAGAGAGACGAAGGAGGTTTGTTCGTGGACGCCGTGAAGCGTACACGGTGCCGTTACGATATTTATAGTGTAGGCTACAAGGTAACGATAGTATACTCGAGAGACAAAACAAAGAACGTAACGACACGGTGTACGCTTCACGGGGTACATTAATGACAGTAGAATAGACCCCCCATGTCTCTTTCTCGCGAGGTCAACGCTGAGTGGATCCGAGTCAACATCATCATACATGAAGATGGGCTTCCCGATGATACGACCTAAAATAATTTTGTTATTGTGGATCAACCTTTTATACTAATATATGAATGAAATCATATGAAAAAAAATCAGTCTTCTCTTATTTATATGAAGAAAAACAAAGAAAAGAGTTGTCTGATTTAGTACAAGTTCCTAATAAAAGCTGCTAAGCTAAGATTACAGAAAGCGCAAAGGAAGTGCGCATGGCGGTCTCTCCAAATGACGTGATCCGCAGCTGGAGGACGACGCGGTCGGCTTCCCAATGGCGAAGCATAGGTCGCCTCCTCGACGGAAGGCCCACGTCTCTACCTCGTCGCCCGCTTTTAGGAAGCTCCATAGCGCGAAGTACTTCAGCTCGTCGCCCTTGATGACGGTGCCCGCGCTGCCGTCCCAGCAGGTTAGCTTCAGGTAGCACCGGAACCTGCACCTGGTGAACACCACCACGGGCAGCCCTCCGTGCTCCCTTCCCGACACCTTCGCCTTCCGTTTCTCTGCCTTGACTCCCTCGGTCACCCTGCTCCTCTTTCTGTCGTCGCCGACGAGGCTGGCGGATTCCCTTTCCAACTCCGAGAGCATGGGGACGAGGTTGGCCTTGACGAAGTCCTTGGGGAGGTAGAAGCGGTTCTGTTGCCGGACCAGGTCGGACTTCTCGATGGTCTTCTCGGCAATGAAGTGGATGTCGGTGCCGCGCTCCGCCGTCACCAATTCGGTCACCCACTTCGGCACGATACGCGGGCGGTACATGTCTCTGGCGACCTTCTTGCGCTTCTTCGACGTGCCCTCGCCGGGCGACGCGGGGGTATTAGGCGGCGGCGGCGGCAGGGGCTCCTCTGGCCCCTCTGTGGCCTCGCTGTTGGACTCGGACGTGACGGCTCCCATGGATGGATACCTTCAGCTTCTACCTTTCTCGAAGCAAAGGAGGGAAGATAGAGAGTGGAGAAGAAGGCAGCGATGGATGGACACCATCACTCTACGTGTGTGTTTATATAGGGATAGAAGAGACGCATGAGAATCCGAAGCCGAGGTTGATTTCTACTCGGACTCCGCTTTGCATTGTCTGAGGAAGCACAAATCGTCTTCGTAAAAGGAAACCGAGTGTGGATCGAAGTCTTCAACGGTTGGGGTGAGTGATTCCTTTTCCTTTTTCGAAATTAGATTCATTTCTGTTGGATTTCTTTTTCTCTTATTATTCTCTATATCTTAAATGATGGATTACGAGTGGCGTTTCATTTGGAATAAATACTATTATATCCGATAGACAAAAATTGTGTGCTACATGAAAAAGAAGACTGAATAATAATAATCTCTGAGAAGAAAAGAGAGCGATCAAATTAAGTCCCATTCGTAGAATGAAAGAGAAGATGGAATAGTGGTGACACAGAAACCAAAGGTCTTTGCAACATTGCAGACGAGACTGGCAACTGTGCTGCTGCTCATATTTGATAGATAATAAATGTCGACATGGGTTGTGACACAGTCATCGACATGATGGCTGTGAACTAAGTTATAATCCATGGTTACTGGAATTGGAACACACCATAAACATAATATGTAAAGCTTAATTGTGATGGATATGTGGTGAAAGATAAGTGATTTGGGTTTTCTTAAATTCAAAAAAAAATATATATATTGGTGAACCATTTTTTGCTGAATATATGTATATTAATTGATGAAATATTCTATATTGTTGTTTGTGAAAATTGAGATTTGAACTTATTAAGTGGAGTCACACATACTAATACGGATCTTAAATAGAAGATGGATTAACTAACTGGTTAGCCAAATATGCAAGTTAATCAGACCATTCTTTTTTTCTTGAGTGGAAGTGACTCTCTCAATTGAATCCTTTTTGGTATTGTGATCTAGAAAGCTATTTTTTGAATGTCAGCAATAAGAGTTAATATATTTATCTTTTAAAGAAAAAAAATATTTGCCCATACAAGAATGTAGAACAATCACTTCAAGTGCTCATTATTTATTAGTAATATCAACAATCCATTTTTTTCAAAAAAAAAAGAAACTAAATTTAAAGAATTAATTTGAAAATTCAGATGAATGGTTGAGGTCAAAAGAAGTGAGACAAACAATTTTGTAACCGGACATGACCATGAAATTATCACTGGAGCCATCTTAGCTTGAGAAATCAATACAAGAATGCTTCTGTTATAATTCACAATCTACAAGTAGCATAATTCCACATCCCCAACATAAGTTTTCATATCTTTCTACACCAGTCTTTCATGGGAACTTTGACATCTAACCAGAATACATGTATAGCTGCACAACTAACCCAGGTGGTTGACATAGAATGAAATGACCTAGTCAACTTGATATATACACCATAACTTGCTGCTACATTCTTTTGAATATATATTTAGAAAAACAAAATTTTTTTTGGAAAGGCACGAGTACGGTAGTAACTAGGAGCAAGAAGAACAATTCGGCGGGAGGCTATGCACCAATGCTTATTCAGCAGAAAAATCAGGCTCTGCTGGCTTCTGCAATAGCATCAAAGGAGGGGCCTTCCTGCTCTTGTGTCGGCGCAAGTTGCGCAGCACATTCGCTGCAAACCTCGAAGCGTACAGCGCGGCGCCAAGGCTCGGTGAACTAGCACCGCCGCTGACCATTGCAGCCTGCAACCTTTTCTCCTTTTCATGCAAAGAGTCTTCAAGCTTCTTTCTCGAGTATCTACGCCAAGCTGCCTGTATAAAACAAGCAGCCCATGTCCTCCATTGCTGCGAATGGTATCTAAATGAATGCTGCAGTTGTTTGCTATGCAGCCTTCTGAATTGTGTAGCAACAAACTTCAGATCATCAGCCATCAGAGCAAAAGCTTCGACTTCAGATAGTGTCTTAACTGTCCTTGTCGAGATAGGGAGGCTGGATGATGAGTAAGGGTCTAGAGCCCAGGTCAGAAGCTCTTCCCCGCAGAAATCTCCAGCCTTCAGAATGTCTGAATTGAAAAATCCAGTTCTTCCACCATTAGTGGTCATGCTCTCTAGCTTTCCTCGCATAATAAAGAGCATTTCATTTACTGGGTCTCCTTCACGAACGATGCAGCTGCATTTAGTGTATAAAACTGGTTTCAAACGATCAGACATGGCATCGATGAGTTGATCATCCATCTTCTCAAACATCGGAACCTACAAGGAATGATATGTGGATTGCATCATTTCTCCAAAGAACAACTCATCAACTACAACTTTTCACTAAATCGTATCATAAGTATGATTCATTTGGAAGTGCAATGAAGAATATCAAACATTACTTCCATGTCTTGTGAACCAAAATATTAGTGGTGAGCTCCTTCAAACAAGGCAAATGTGATGACTCTGAACAACCAGGGCAAGGTACTTTTAGTATTCTGAAACACGAAAGATGACTCCTAAATGGGTTGGGCCTCACCTCTCATGCAGGGAAGACAGCCAACACCTATTCATACTCTCAATCTTCTAGCTAAATTCACCAATTCTGAATTCTCTATTGTTTCATACTCTCAATCTTCTAGCTAAATTCACCAATTCTGAATTCTCTATTGTGCTTCTTTCAAATCTCCCTATTCCTATTCACGATTCTTCTTTCTGAAGACAGATGCTCTAGAAAGACAAAAGCACCCGTCTCTCTGGAAACTAATCTCAGAAGCTAACCCATACCCAAAGTTCATATAACCCTAACCCATATGGTTTCTTCAAATCTCACCACCCTTACTCTCCCAATATAAAGCTAATTCTAACCTCAAACAATCAGAAATTGAACGTTTCAACAGATCAGAAGTGAGAATCAGACAAAAATGTGTTCCACTTGAATTATTTGATGTTGGAAATTATGCTTGCTTGTAATGATAACTTTCTGGAAAGTTAATTTTTAAGTTTTTAAAAAAATATTCTATCATTATAAGTTGTAACCATGACTAAAGGAACTTTGACATATAACAATATCCCTCTCATATACTAACATGTTGTCATGTTCTATAGTTAGCCATCGATCTAATATGCATTATTTATTTCATCCAGTAACATGTTTTGTCTAGTATCAAATAAATGACAAGAAAAAGTTGAAATTTTGAATTTTACAGTATTTTCATTTTTCAATAAATGACTGAAAATCATCTTTTACAGTGAGCTGTGAGCTGCAAAATGTTAACTCAATTAGACCTTAGTTTGAAACTAGAAACATTGATTCAATAATGCTGCTGGAGCTAAAATTACATGCAGTAGTCATGACAAAATCGTTACTGACGATTCTCACCACAAAAATATGGAACAAAATTGGAAAATGCAATTAGAGAAATAGAATATATGGAAATTTTAACATAAAAAATCCTACCCGCTTGAGGAGTGATAAGCAGAGATGGTGCTTTATATCCCTTCGAAGGTCTTTAGGAAGGTTATGAAGAAGATGCTCTTCATCTACTCCTCTTGTTTCTTGCCACCTATACTGCTCATAACGGCGTATTCTCTCCTTTAGGCTCTCAGGAAGGGATCGGTGAGACATCCACTGCTCTGCATCTCTCCTTTTTACTCTCATTTCTTCTATTCTGACAGTAGTTGATTGTAGATATGTCTGGAATAGCAAAAATGTTTACCAACCTAGGATTTAACTTGTAAACCTTTTATAAGTGAAGAAAATATGGTTGTATTGACTTGGTGAATCAAAGCGCACACTGTTTGATACTAATATCTTAACCTTGGAAAATATGAAGAAAACGAAGGAATAAAGAGGATTTGCCATAAAGTCCTTCCATGAAGCTACATGAAGTGTGGACAAAAAGGCAGCAGTTTCAAAGAGATTCATGTCAAAGATTGGTGAATACATTGCACAATTAAAGATTTATACTTTGTCACGGACAATTATAGTTGTTAAAAAACCACGTACATATGTTACATGAAAGATATAAAGCAAATATCTCTGATTTCAAACATAGATAAAAAAAATGTAATCACAATCATGAGTGTGATAAATGATGAAAGCGGCGTACCTGCATATTGCCAATGAGAAGCGCAAACAGAACTAAGCCAAAGATGGAAACACAAACAGCAAAAATATTCTCCCAAATGTAAGTGCTTGTTTTAAGGTTTTGTCCAAGAGAACTGCAGAATAGTCATATTTTAGCTACAGAAGCAAAATGATGAAATGTGATAGTATTGAATCTGATCAAAGAAGTCCTTACATCTACCAAATCCTTATATCTACCATACAAGTGTCTTGAGTAAACAATGAAGTATCTAACGTAGATTATTCAGGTGTGTTCAAGAGCAATTAGATCCACTTAATTTAGTGAAGATTGCAACAGGTCAAATCATGTACACACATATGTAAGTGCATCTGCTCCTGGTGCAAACACAAATATATTACACTGCATTTGTCATTCACAGATGGTTTGAACTATAAACCTATTGGGACAAATAAATGAAAATCAAAACAATGTTAAATACTCTTAATTTTCTCATGTAGAAAGATTTATAATGTTTATGATACTTAGCAATAAAAACACAGAAAAAAAGAAAGAAAAAAATCCTTCCAAAGATTCTTAAGTTTGCACAGATTATAAGAAAAGGATTATACTCAAAAAAACATTGAGAAATAATATTTTGTGTCCGTCAAAATCAATAAACATAGATTATAATTTTTTGTGCCTCACAAAAAATTTCTGATCGAATATATTATCAAATACATTATTACCTTAGATTTTGAAGCCCCCACCAAAAGCAATAAAAAAACTTCTCCAAGAACTTTTCTGATCGAACAACATTTTGCAGAGCTTGTAGATATATTCCGAAGTCAAAGATAGTCCCATTTTTGGGACTTATAGGGCAATCACCTCCCAGGAAACCATTATTCTGGTTGTTTTGCTGTCCACAGATTAAAGAGTCAATTTTGCAATCATGTTGGGCACAAGCTTTTCCCCAACAAGTGCCTTCACGTTCTATAGAAAGAAAATACCAAAATGCTCCCAGTATCTACAAGAAATTAAAACAGCAGGTCCAGATCAGCCAAAAGAAAGTTTAAGTTCTTCCATGTAAGCCAGATAAAATATCTTCTGCAAGTTATTGGTCGTATTATACATCAAAAATTGACTGAAAATTTAGAAAATGTACTATAGAGACACAACCTATATATACTTCTTTTTCTTTGAGCAGTGCGAGAATATTGCTCAATGAACTGAATCAGCTTGCCAACTATTGGTAAATGCATTAAAGATGATGAAAAATAGGACATTCTCAGCAATTTGATATGCAAAAACAGAAAAAAGATATATATAAGCATTCACACTAAAGAATTTTTGTGAAACAATCTCAATGTCATTTCTTTCATGTTAAACAAAGGAAGTGAGAGCCAACAGATCCTTGATAGGCTTATACTGCACTGTTGGAAAACAGATCAGCTCAAAAAGAGGATATATCTGATCAAATCTTAAACTATATGATGCAGAATAGAAATTGGTGAAGTCGAAGATGTTAAGTCCAATAGAATAGTGGAGAACTTAAGGTCCGATTACTATTATGGCTGATCAAGCTTCGGCAACACTCAAATAGCTGCTGTCATATGACTTATAACAATAAAAAAAGGACAAAAATAACAAGATCAAGAATTAAAATATCGATCAGTATCAGTTACTCGAAATGTACAACACTAGTATACCAAGCAGGGTATACCGACTTGTACCACATGCTATCACGAGAGAAAAAATAAAAAGTTCAATATTGAACACAGGTATACTAAGCAGGATATACCAACTTGTACCACATGCTATCATGAGAGAAAAATAAAAAAATAAAAATAAAAAGTTAAAATATTGACTAATACCTACCCATAAGGTCTGACCTTGGTCCTTGGTCAGGCCAATAGATACTAATCGATAGTTCCTTGAATGAGATAATATGATAACAACCAAAATAAAGATGATTGAGGAAAGATTTTCCTAATTTAGCACATAATATGCAAATGATGAGAGTTTTGATCATGACTGTCATACCATATCAGAGAACTTGCATGGATATATTGACTTTGCAGACAATCCTAAAAGGATCACATATGAAATTACAGAGTAAACTAACATCATGTAAAGTTAAAAAAATTAGCAATTATATAATCAAAAACTAATTAGAAATGGATTTTGAAATTTATAAAATGGAAAAAAAAAGATAGATTTATGATGTGGAAAATTAATTAGCTCTTAAATTCTAAACATTAGAAGTTTAATTTTAACTTATATACAGATTTTGTAGCCAAACCTACATTAAAATTTTAATATAAATTATAATCATTTAAAATCAAAAAAAATTCTTAAGTTTTTTCTTTTTTTTTTACGTTATACTAAAAACATATTTTTTGGTTAATTGCAATTCTTCTCGGCCCAATCATGTTTTCCCTAGCCAATCTCAACCATGCTAACATTGCCCAAAACAGAAGTTATATCCAATAAGTTATAACTTGAGAGTTTCTAGTTTTAACAAAAATCTAACCACTGAGTCCTATATTTGAGCCAGCCATGCATACAGTTTTTTATTGGTGAAATTCGATTATAAAAGAACTTCTTGGCCAGCCATGCATACAGTTTTTCCTGTATTTGAGCATGGAAATACAGAACATGCAACCAAGGCATAGAACTTGGAGTTGTACACATTCTTTGTCATACTTCCATGTAACGACTCTGCAAACTGATGATAGCCCATCTTAGTCTCCATCCCTTTCTAAAATTTGATGGCCAAGTAGTGGTACTGTTAAGATAAATTCCACCAAATTCTACTAGTACCCCACAAAAGGAAAGAACCTTCAGCTATACAAAGAAAAGCATCTTATCTCTTAAACAACTAGGAGCACCTAAAAAATCTTTCAAAGGTCTGTAGCCAATCAAGAAAATTCCTAATTCCTTGCAGTGATCCCTAATGACCAGATTTCTCTATTATACTTACAATTGATGAACGCCTTAGATTAACTCGATTTCATATAGGTAATTACTGAAAATAAGCAATGCTACTTTGAAGTTCCAATCACCTTCCATCACCATAACTCATTGTGGCTATGAAAGCATACAGGAAAGTCTTCTACCTCACACATAGCAACTGTATGCTGTGACTAATTAAATTTTTTGTAAATTCATAATCAACGTGGACAAGTCAAAATGGAAATGAAGTTCAGAATTAGTCACTAATGTGCAAAGGAACAATTCTAAGAATGTAGAGGGCATAGTTGGAAAAAAAAAAAAGAGGAATCAAAGGAAAAGATGATGCGTACCAAACAAAGGACAGTGAAGCCCTGACAGGACAAGCTGTAAATAAAACTTATCTACAACATGATAAGTTATTGTCAAAAAGAGGTAAATGACTACAACCTCATGAATGAAAAAATTTTAAAATGAGACAAAAGGGATCAAGAAAGGAACCCTTAATATTCACATGCAACTCCTGGTTCAGGACAGTAAAGCTACAAAGTTCTAGGAAATATTTCTCTACTGTCCTCCACATTGAAGTAGCTGGTTGGACCTTGTGTAAATATGAAGAAATCAACTTCAATTTTTAATTTCAAACTGCAGACATCTTGTTAAAACATTATCATGATTCATGGATGATATTCCTAATTATGCAGCAAAGAAACCCCTCATCTTAGGGGTCCATAGATAAGGCTGCTGAATCTCTGAAGCCTAAACTAATCCCAGAATGACATTTTGGAGACCAGGGATCAGTGGACTGAAACAAGAACAAAACATGAACCACAACTAGCAGATGTTGCCAGAATTAGTATAGTCTTTTAAAAATCACCAAAATAAAAAAAAATTAAAATTGAAACTTCAAGTAAACTTACATGACTTGCAAGCATGTAAAGTAAAAGGTTAAAAGCAGCTCCAACCCATGCTGTTTCAGCAATTATACCAGCAGATCTTGTAACTTCAAGATACAACGGTATGATCCTAAGAACTCTTGGCACGTATTGGAATATAACAGCAAACATCAGTGCATTCTTTGCATTCAGGAGTGCTGAACCTTCAAGTTTGGGTATTATGAGCAATATCATAATCTGTTTGGATTTATAAAAATGTTATCAGTAACTGTAGCTAAAGTAATCAGTGATTTTAATAAAATACTGACTGTGACAACCATAGCTGCCATAGAAAATAGTTCTACCCTATAAGAAACTAAAATAAAGAATGAAAAGGAAACAAAACTGCACATCATGTACTCATTTCAAAGCAAAGAATTTAGCAAGTTGATATAAATCTAACCATAATTGGACAATTACAACAAATAGGAAGACCACAACCTAAAGATCTGTGCCTCAATTGATTTTCATTTATATTTTTATAATAATTTGTTGTCAAAGCTTCGATTTTTTCCTGCATGATGGCAATTTACTAACCTAAAGCATGGAATAACAATCATCATTTAAGGAGAATTTTAAAGCATGGATTTTATAGCGTATCAAGAAGAATTTTAAGTCATTCTTAATCTTATCAATATGAATATTGCATAGTTATGGCAGTAAAAATGGGAAAAATTGAAACATGTCACATAACGTCAATCCTCGCCCACTGACAAAGCAAGCCCACTAACTTTTAGGTGAAAACACTAAATATAGGATTACTTTTCTGCTCCAAATTTCTAATGTGTGAGCAAATCAGGAAGGCCTCCTATTAGACTAACAGTTTTCCTGTACCAGTACAGGTGTAACACAACAATTTAGCAACACTGACACCCACAAAGGTGCTCTGATAACAACATGGATTGATCCATGGCAGAGATACTTGCAACAAAGTAGAACATTGTCCAAAATAGTTAACACGGAGCTATTATTTTGGGTTCCATGATTCTATAAGTATGATCTTTGCACATAAATAATGTAGGACTGACATGCCAACATATTTGCAAATATTTTCTCCCCTTCAAACTCCAGCATAGTTGCCAGGTTTCTTAGTTACAGTGAATATAATACCATAATCAACCAATCCTAAGTCATGGTTAAATCCCCTAATATGTTGATTGGTCCTGATCACATCCATGGTTTTAAGTGCCCCACATTGAAATATGGACCTGCTTGGCTTTGCTACTGGTAATACAGGATACTTTATGTGGCATATGTTAGTCCCCCAATGTGCATAAGAAAATCCTTAATACTCATACATCAAGAAACCTAACATTGCAGTTCTTAGATATCCCCTCTTGCAAGCTACAAATAATCAACTATGCATCCCAATAAACCGTGATCTAGTAGAAAACCAAGCATGCAGTTCCATTAGCATCATTCATCATGCCTATGGAACACAGGGATGATGACAAGGACTTTGGAATTTAACTGCACAAACTATAATTGCCAATAATCCAATATTAGTGAAAGATGAAAATGTGGTACCAAAAAGATTCACAATGACCCAGGCTGATAGTGATTAGTGAATGTCATTCAAGGGAGTAGCTTCCTGATTATTAGAAAAAACAAACAAGAAACCCAAACATGGTCCTCAACAGTCTTTCTTACAAGCAAAATGATAAGCTCAATAAATTATCTGCTTGTGTAAATTAAAATTAGCAGTAAAAAGTTTGCAGACTAATTTCCTTGGTCTTTGTTTAAATAGATACGCTTCGCCTCTTACTAATGTTAAAGTACTGATATATATATAGACAATAATCAAAATCCACTACCTAAATAAATATCATGTTTTGACAATAGAAATGCATAATATATATTCATGGATAGTACATAGAATGAGTTTGATACCTGTGGAAGTGGAAAAACAGCAAGAATGTCAATTAGGAAATATGATGATAAATATCGCTTGGCTATTGCTGACAAATCTTTGACCAAAACTCCCCTTCCAAATACCCTAGATGAAGGAGCGATGAACCCAGTTCGAAATTGAAAAACAATATGGACCAAGTAGAAGATATCTGTGAAAAACCGCAGTACACTTGCAGCAATTTCTAGTTTTTTATCCAAATAAAGACAATTATTGTCACCATCAATAACTGGAATGTAGAAGAACAAGGGGTCCACAGACACAGCAACTATGCAGGATATGACAAATATTTTGTTCCACCTTTGAAGAAACGGTCCTTGAGGATCTAGAACTTTCTTTTTAGACTTTGGTACCCCCGCAGATGAATTTGTAGAAGACTGAAACTTAAAAATGCTTCTAACCCAATCAAATCCTCCTTGAAAAATCCTTTTTACTGAACTAAGACTTCTCTGTTTTCTGCCTAAAAAAGCCCTTTCTGAATCCAGGGATTGCTCTGAACTCCAGTCATGAAACCTGTCAACAGAGAGGCAATGATGACACAATGATCACCACTAACAATTCCATTTCAAAGCTTGATATGTTTTCTCAAATCTACATAAGTCATATTGGTTACCACTTTTGTGAAATAGCGCAACATAAATCAGAGAGAAGAAGAAATTGACTAAATAAGCATTAGTTACTATTTGAAATTTCACAATCCTGAGAAAAGTGAAGACATTTTCTCTGAGACTGATAAACAAAAAATTATCATGCTTAAAATGCAGAACATTTTCCTGACACTGTAATAATATCTATGTTCATGTTACACACTATATAGCACCTTCCTGAAGCTCACTTAATTTCAAAGTATCACCCTGCATTATGCACAGATACAAATACTCTTGGTGTTTGGTTTCAAAATCAACAAAAACAAAGCATAATCACTGTTGCATGGTCCTAGATACAAGATTATGCTAAAAACAGGGGGTGTGATTCCCTTTGCCTATTAAATTGTATTTTTTAGAGTAATTGCATTAAATGCCTATTAATTTCATCTTATTAATTAAAGGATGAAATACAAATAAAATTGATTGAGATATAAAAGATTAAGACCATTAAATATGATATTCCCTTTGTAATTGCATGTATTTCCTTATCTCAATATCATCAACAAGCACCCTCTGGTTTTCAATATTTATGCATCTAACATAACATAAAGTTATAAACCTTTGCTTCTTTTCCCCTATCTTTAACATTCTTTTCTCAACATCTTTCTTCCTTGCAAGAAAATCTACCATAAGCCTTGTTTTATGAATTTCAAAACAAAAAAAACTTATTATCATGGAAATATTAAGCAGGACAATTTAATGAATATAGATCACCTTCCCTTTTCACTTCCTGAAGTTCCTTCAATAAAAAGGTCCTAAAAAAGAAATGGCAAGCTTCTATTACCGAATTACACTAAAAAATTTATAAAGAAGTGTAGAATCCACAAACATCACTTGAGAATATTTGAAATTTAATGAACTTGTAACAAATAATCCAGTATTTTTCAACCACAAGTGAAAGAAAGCTGTAGAGCAGCACTAATTGCTTTAAAACAACCAGCCTTGTAAACAGCAAAAAACAAGGTTCCAGTAGGCAGGGTAGCACTACAAAGTACAAAGTATCTTCAGTAATGGCCAACAGAATTTACTGCACTAAAGGAACAAGCTGCAGACATGAATTAACATTAAACCCAAATAATGACTAACCTCACAAATTTATCCTCCCGATGATTCATAGCTTCAGCTTAATTGTAGTGCAGTGCCTACTAAAGAGAACTGAATTTCATGATCACGAACACCAGCATCTATTGCACAGACTAAACTAATCACCAGCCTTTTTCAAGAAGTAGTGGAAAGCAGCAAGAACAAGAACTACAGGCTGTTCTGCAACAGGTAAGTAAAATATTCGCTCAGGATAGAAACAAACATCATTTTATATAACAGTTAAAAGACTGTTATCATGATTGTTTCAGAGTAGGCACTCTTTCTTGTTAAATTAGTAAATAATGCACATATTTATGTGGAGCTAAGATGTAAAAAAAAAAAGATATGATCAAGCATGATGTTGACAAATTATAAAAGGGACAGAGAAAGATACACAGACAGTAACATGCAGAAGGACAATCAAAGCAAGTTGAAATAATGCATGTCTAAATAGGTCATGTTAATGATATTATAGTGTTTATACTAGGTTTTGTCACACTTGCTTGATTGGGGTTTATATTATCAAATACACGGACAGTAACATGCTGAAGGACAATCAAAACAAGTTAAAATGATGCATGTCGAAATAGGTCATGTTAATGATAATATAGTTTTTATACTAGGTTTTGTCACCCTTGCTTAATTGGGGTTTATATTATCATTCAGGTCAAGCAAATATTGCCAAGATAGACAGAGCATTGATATGAAAAAGGAAAGGCAGAACATTATCGGAAGCTTCAGTTTAATTTCTGGTTCATGGCTGAACCAAAAATTAAAAACTCAAAGCGTCAACTCAAAACTCAACAGGTTTGACTCAACTCGTCAAGTTTTAGAGCCAACCCAACAATTATTAGGTTAAAACTGTGTCAAACTTGACCCTACTAGGGTGAGTTACTTAAAAATAAGACATTGATGAACTTCGATGACATTGTGTGGTTTAGGTTAATATCCAAGAACTACAAGATATAGATCAGGTCAAGAATTAAAATTTTGTACCATACCAGTGTTTCTAGCTTTGCTCAGTACGGTATTGTACAATGTACCTAGCGGTATGCCTAAAAAAATATAAAAATCAATTTTAGTACCGAGTAGTACTAAATATATAAATATTATATATATATATATATATATATATATATATATATATATATATATATATATAAAAATCTTCGATGGCATTATTCCACCCTATCCCCATACTATATGCATTGATGAAGACAATCCATCTAAGTCATGCATAGACAATGCTTGAATGTGAAGTTAGGCATACAAGATCACTAAAAGAAATAATAAAATATATATCTTTTTATATAAAAATATAAAAATGAAAAATCAATATATAAAAAGATAAAGATACGGTGTACCGAGCGGTCACCTCGTCTGTGGCCTTCGACGTCAGGGAGGTGAGGAGAAGAAAGACAACATAGATATCGGAAGGTTCTCCGTGCAACAACAACGGATAAAGGAGACCGTTCAGAGATAAAGAAGGTCGGGGTCTTCGCTGCCTTCCTCGCAGCCGCCTCTTTCGCTGCTCTCGCCGTTGCCTCCCCTGATCCCTGCGCCTCGAGCTCCTCCTCCAAAGAGGTACAACTCTCCTTGTCGTTACCTCATGGATCAGGATCGTCGAGGGAGGGTGGCGCTGGATCAGGATCGAGAAAGGGTGTGAAAGACAAGTTTGCGCTAAGGTTCGATGGGCTCAGGTTCATCGAGATGCTAGTGATGGCGCATTGATGACTCCGCAATACTCTTTCTCAACGCTTCTCCCTCTTCTTCGATGCTTCTGCTTCTTCTTTGAACGCTCTCTTCTTCCTTGCCTCGCCTCACCGCAGCCAAGCTGATACCACCAGGTAGCAAGCCGTTCGCATGCCGATCAACTGGTGAACCGATACGTACCGCCCGGTACATATTAAAAACCCAGGATCAGGTATTAAACTACAATGCAAGTATTTCACACCATATTCTCCTTGGCCTCACCAAACTATGTCATGCGCCCCTCACCATGTCATGGTGGCCTGACCACGTCATTTTGCTGATGCTCCTATCCCCTTTCACCATCATTTCCCACTGCTGAATTCACTTTTGGAGGTGTAACAGCACTGATGCTATTCTTGTATTTTGTGAGTCTTGTCAAATGATTTTGTTTCTTTTATTATTACAATATTTCAAAAGATTTGAGGTATTTCTCTTTGCAAAAGAAAAGCTTGTATCTAAAGTATTGATTCATCAACATTTACTGATCTCCATTATTATCTTACACCGAAAGTGACACCATAACCTATCTGATTTTGCTCTTTGAAAATAATGTTATGTTCTTTAAGAAAAAAAATCTCGCTCTGATTTTTATATATGCAAAAAATTATAATGAGTTTTATTTTCTTTTACACCCACAGCAGTGCTTCAAAGAAGAAGAGCTCTGCTTTTCTTAAAGTAGGGATAGACTAACTTTAGACATAATTGAATACACAAGGCACAAGCATACTTGTCATAAACAAGAACAAAAGAAAACATCATCATATTATTATCATGCAATGTTGATCAGTAGACTTAACTCACTTGACCTCTAAATTGAGTTGTATCTTTCAATTAGAGAACCATAGGCTTGAACTAAATTATTAGATGCTCTAGTTCAACAGTTTATGATTCAGAATTTTCAATCTTGACCATGAATATAATTAAGATTAACAAATTTTCAACAAATTATTAAAAAAACACAAATAGCAAACAATTGACTATTAGCAAGTAATTCAAAACTAGATCATAAGGAACTACTGGGGAGTTCATGTAAGAAACATCAGCATCGTTATCCGAATGTGATTGTTCATAATACTGCTGAGTGTGTCAAACCAGCAGTATGGAAGAGAAAAGGCATCCTCATGCTGGACATCTTGTTGATCTTTACTTTGATTCATAAAAAAATGCAAGTACTACAACAAAAAATGTGTAAACAATATAATAGGAAGATTGTTAACATTGCTTTGGATTGGACACTTTCATTCATATCGAGTAAAATTAACCATCTTTTTCATTTTCAAGTGTTCTTGCAAAAGTTTGATAAATGTTACCATTTAAACATAGATATTAGGAATGTTAAGAATGATATATATAGCTGTACCAGTTATGGTTTGCATATTGACATTTTGTCGTCACTCACATGAATTTTTAACCTCCTTTAGGAAATATAGTTTTTCTTTTACCTTATCATGTTTCTTGTGTACAACCATGGCATGCAACTTAATTAATCATTACATGAGTAATTGATTGCAGTTTCTTACAATCTTGATTGAAGATTTTCAACTCTTGGAATCATGCCACGAGTAACAATTCTACCTAACAGATAAGCCCAAATCTATGAGCCAGAAGACGATTTACCGCTAGGCATGCAATTTCACCTAAGCATTCCACTTGACCATGTTACGAACTCACAACTAGCTAACGGTACAATCTTGGCTCCGCTTTCATTTATACCTCACGCATATTCAACTCAGAAAGGTCCACGGGAAGATCTCGAGAAGGAAATCGACCTCCAGCGACAAACATGACTCCACAAAGGTAGAGAAAATTTAGAGCTTTAAATCCCATGTTACAAACAGAATTAACGACAAAACAAATCTTAAACCAGAACGATCAAGAAACTCCGGCTCCAAAGAAGTCCACATGGGGAAAGAAATCTACCGAGTCGGCTCTAAATCCTCCTCTGTTGATCCACATACGATCCAAGAAAACAACTTAATAGGCAAACCCATCCAAAGAAAAAAATTTGACGGCCGAACCCATCCAAGAAAACAAGAAAGGGGAGATCAAACCGAAATCCAACGCATGACAAGAAGGAACCGAACTCTAAGCCAAATCGAGAAGGAAAGCCATAGCGTACCTCCTCCTGGTCTGCGATCGAGAAGAAGTCGTCCTCCACTCGCTGGGAGGTTTACTTTCTTGGCGTCATTGAGAAGGCGATTAACTGCCACCAAGCATTATAGTATTGGAGTAGTTGCCATAATTTAAAGAGCAGAGAAATTTCGTCGATGCTTCTCTGGACGTGGACTGGTTCAGCAGGGAGCGGCGCCCCGGGGGGAACGGTGGAATATCGCGTCCCGTGGTGGGTATCCGCCCGGATACCATATCCATCCTCGATCCCTCGACGAGCGAAGGCGATCGCTGCGGGTGAGAGGATTCGGCGTCCGGAATAAGGTATCCATCTCGGGGGTAGCGGCGGGCCCCGAGGTATACGGCGAAGGTTGGCTGGAGTTGTCGATCTACCCAGTCAAACGGTGCGGATCCTCTCCAATGATGTCTGCAACTAGGAACTTCCAGTACGCGTATCAGAGCCGACCATCACTTGGGATCAGGACCGTAAGATCAATTGCATAACAAGCGCAGCAATCAGAGATGAAGCGAGTTGACCGATGCCGTCCTCTCCAACGATGTCTGTAACTGGGAACTTCCAATGCCAGTATCAGAGACGTCCAACAATTCGGGACCCGACCATCGCTTTCGATCAGGACCGTCCGATCAAGTGCACGGCAATTTGGTCGTTGTCGATACCAAGTCAAACGGTGCGGATCCTCTCCAATGATGTCTTGAACTGGGAACTTCCAATGCAAGTATCAGAGACATCCATCGATTCCGGATCCGACATCACTTTGGATCAGGACCGTCCGATCAATTAGATAACAAGCGCAGTAATCGGAGAAAGAGAGTCTGTCGCTGTCGATGTGTTCTGCTGCACTCGGTGCCGCTTAACCACGAAGGAGCCCTTCGCAGCGAAATGTTTCTCGTGCAGGTTGACTTTTGAAAGTCGCCTTCTGCTCGTCGGTTTTTGCTCGTCAACGAAGTGAGACAGAGAGTGAAGCTCAGATTATTTATTATCTCTCGATTCATCGGTGGGAAGATCTCTTCTTGCCTACTTATCTCTGTCGAAGTCCCAATTATGGAAAAGATTTAATCTTTTAGAAGAGTAAACGTTGACGACTTGATGACTCTCAACATGATTTATTTCACCAAATCGATGTCCATGATAGCGAACTACAAAAGCATAGCTCATGAATTTGGTTTTCAAGTTCAACAACACATTTCCAATGTCATTACGGAAGACAGACCAGACAAATGACATCCTGTCTGCTACCTCCATGATTCAAATAAAAGAAAGATGGTGAGAACCTTATTCAGAGAGCAGCTACCGGGTGTTCTCAGTGCTTGGCATCAAAGTCCAACATGAAGAGCCTGCAATGCAAGTCGTAAGCGACCTATGGTAAATGAGAAGTCGGCAAAATTGTCTCCACATCCCTAAGATTTCTCTTCATCTGGTTGAGAGGATGGTGCGGTTATAGCTTCCGCAAAGTATTCCTCAACTGAAACATGATTTAACAATTGAGTGTGTCAGCGATTTCTTGAGTTTGGGTGCAGCTATCAACTTATTTCCTTTCAGAAAATGTAATATCTAACCAAGTATTTCCATTAATATCTCCTTCTTGGGAACATGTAATAAATATCATTCCAAGTGGAACATAATAGTGGCATTTTAAGAATGCAGAAAGATCAGGACTAGTTACAGTTTTGTAACATGCAAAGATCCTAAAGTTGCATGCAAAAGATCAAGTCTATAGGAAAGGGATGGTTCATTTACTTGTGTCATCGTGCTCTGAGGAGTCAAGCCTGATGTCTGAGTCCGATGGCAGGAAAGGAGAGCTGGTGTAGTTCTCGAGAGCTCCTAGATCTTCAACCAACCAAGCAGGAATAAGATGTCATAACCAGAAAAGGCATCCACATAGTTAGCAATTTAACGAGGAAACCCATACCCAAAAATTTCTAGCATAATCAAGATTGTGGTCTGAATGGTAGGGTGCATGTTGATATCTTATTATCTTAATAATGTTTCAGATGACAAATATTTTAGTTAGTAGTCCATAGATTTTGATAGGAACCATTCAGAAGAATAAACATATAGGACGTGTCTGAACATAGGTTTCAATCAGTTTGTTAGCACATGATAAAAGTTGCAATCACTCTATGTTAAAGTTACATGAAGATAATATAGGTAATGGAAATTATGGGCTCATGTATGTATTTTCAACAAGATGAGAAACATCAATTATCATCATAATGAATCTTAGATGAATTAAGTATATACACATCTTTTATCTCATTAAATTTCTCATTAGGCTTTTAGTTCCATTTCAAGAGACACCAGGAACAAATTCAGAAATGTATTCACAGACTATCTGTAGATTTAAACCATGAACAATTAGCTAGCATTGCCCTACAAGTGTTGAGATTAAATGTCAACTGGTGTACTCTGAGAAACGCTTACCTCCTAAATTTGCCAAATCAGTTGCTAAGTCTGTAATGCTAAAGTTCCAAAGTGGTCCTAATGAACCTAGTGAATCTCTGGAGGAACCAATGGCACAATCTTGACTGAGTTGCAACTCTCCCATACTTGCCACATCAGATGTTAAGGTTGTTTCAAGTGTTGATGCATCCAGGCCCATCCCAGATATCTCAGATGGAGTGAATGGAAAATGATTATTTGATGCCACTGATGCAGGACTTGCAGCCATCTCTGACAAAGATGATATGGCACCACATGGAGCAGTTGCAGGAGTTGCTTCAGGTTTGCGATCATTAATCACAATGCTGCAATAATCATAAGAAGTGTTCGTCAGACTGACTATATAAAATAAAATTATAATTCATAAATTAACAATGAAACTCAATTTTTTCCTATTTAAAATAGCCACAAGAGAACAAGTTAATTGAAAATCTCCAAAGAAACTACATGCTTAAAACTCAATTTGACTCAACTTTGACAACTTTGACTCCTCTAAGAACTAACTTGGAACATATCATCTGTTATCTTCCTGCATCAAAGTTCCACTAAAATTTCAAAAGATTGTCCAAACCATAAAAAATAGTTTATCATTTCTTTTGATATATGATGTTGTTTAAGTTCCAATCCTCCACTAATTGATGTCTCCTTTATGATATATAGCAATTATGTAAAAGAATTGTAGCAATGCTAAAGAAGTTGCAACAAATGAACTTACTCATTTCCAGAATTTACATGAATCGGGTGATATCTTCCAGGAGCAGGAATACCATTAACCGCATTGCAGCTAGACAATACACAACTTACAGGATCAAAATGTGGCTGACCTGTAGTCGTCATTGCAGGTTGCTGAAGAACTGGATACCCCAAAGGCATACTGTTAACTGCACTGAAAACAGGTTGTCTTTGAGTAAGTGAATAACTGTGTGCTTCAAACTAAATTTATGTGGTTCTTAAAGATGATAATAACAGCTTTTTAATAAGAATCATATTTGTAGATTAAAAAAAAACCAACGTAATTAAAGTACTGACTATTTTACTATCTGCACAAAATTTAATACAAAAAAATACCGAGGTTTAGAAAATTTAACTATAACTTATGGCAATAATATTCCAGGAAGTTCAACATACAAGTGAAGTAATAAAAGAGGCAAAGAAAAGCTTATTCAAATGGTTCGACAGGAAAGCAATTCCTTAATTGGTGAAACAGGATAAATTATGAAAATCAGATTGCATGTATTTGGCCTAAAAAATGGGATGAGAAGAAAATAGCATTTGGCCACATGGTTTTGCAAATCAGCTGTGATTATTTGCTTCCTTGTGAGTTAAAGTAGATAAGCAATTGGATAAAATTGATATGACTTAACTTGACAGCAATAAGCCAGCTTGCCATGAACTTGTTGAACATATAATCAGTGCAGGAAATGAAAGAAAGATGTACAGTACTAAGGTCATCTACAGTATAGATGAATATGAAAACTTCACAGATGCAGAATAACTTACTGTTGAAATAAGCATATACTGCAGTCAAAAAATCTCACTTCAACTTTTTCTTAATGTCATTGTCGTAATTCACATACAGAAGAAGCTTTTATCTGAGTAGTAAAGTGATTTTAATGAGAACATTAGAGGATTAAAGTCATTAAGAAGTGGTGACAAGTAAAACAGAACAGGAGGTCAAAAAAAAGGGCAATGCTGGTACAGGTTGTCTTACACACATGATTCCAGTATAGGACCAACAAACGATTTGAAAGCATTCAAGTTTGACAAGTGCTAAAATCATTAGAAACTGGATTCAGAATCTCACTTATAAAAAAGAATGTATATCAGATTAAGATAGCTGGATGGTGGAATCTTGGTATAATCAGAACTAGACCTACAGAATCCTATAACAACAAAAACCCAGCTATCCATGGACGAAAAATTTTTTAGCACTGCCAGAGGATTTGGTAGAGAATAGTCATTTTTTAATAGGTGAACTTGACCCAATAAAAGGAGCATAAAGGAAGGTTGCAGCCAGGGGTTTGGATGGTTTGCATGGCCCTCCACTAGCCCCAAGCCCACCCATCCCACTCATACAGATGTACGATTCTCAATGAACATTAAGGACAAAGCAGCAAGATTCGAAGGTCACAAAAAAGAGAAATTTCGTAGATTGATGGAGCATACTCCTGTCAACCAATGGAACCAGGATCACAGTTATGAACACGACTTCACAAGAAAATAACAATACAAAATTTTCTATGTACAGCAGAGTTTGCAAAATAAAGAATAATCAGCATCTCACTTGATAGCTTCTGAAATCTTTGAACAGTTATCATCTTGACAGGTTCTCAAGTTAAAGAAATTACCAGGCCCAGCATGAATGCCACCATGTATTGGAGCCAATGGAACATTAGGTAGGACAGGACATTTCATCAGCTGGCATTGGTGCTCCAGCAAATGATTGAAAAGAATGATCTGCTTTTTCAGTTTCAGCCTTATATAATATGCCCTGAAAAAGTCGGGATTTTCTTCTTCAAGTTTCTTCCAAACTGCAAACAGACAAAGGGCATCAGACCAAAATAAAGTTTATTTTCATTTTCAGGCTATCACAAAACTGTGTGTTTTTCATGAGCATTTCTTGCCCTTGTCAATTGTGCCTTATGGCATTTATATCGAACTTTACGTTCGTAATTTTGAAGTAGAACTCTTCAAAAGCAACTGCCAACATTTCTTTACAAAAATTAGAAATTAAATTGTAGATGCATGTCCCATAAGCATAAATATCTTTTGAAGTATACACCGTGTAAAGAAACAATTACTACATACGCATGTAGGGGATATATATCTTTAAGAATAATCATAAAGCATAAAAGATCTTATCAGCATTTCCTCAAATGTCTTGTCGACAAGTACAAACAACAAACATGTCTAACTATGATGAGAAAACCTTACCAAATTCACTTACACAAACATATATTAAAAGTTAGATTGCATGGATGCATAAGTTCTAAGGATAGAAGGCTCACCTAGTGTAGTAAAACCAGGTTCTATCCTAGCACGATCGGACAGAGTTCTAACCACTTCTCCTCTGTTCATATACAGTTGTAGACAGTGTTCTATCAAGTTTTGGACCTGCAAGAGTAAGAACAAAAAATAAGGTAGTGAAAAAGAGAAAATATCAAGATACCAAGTGCCCTGCCTCTGCCCATGGCTTGGTAGCATAGTACAGGTCATGCTGTGCTGTGTATTAGTCCAAGAACATGTCCAGGTATTACACGCTGGCAAGGAGTGCTGCCTGGCCTGTTGTCGTGTGATTGTTTGGTGCCAGCAAGTATGTGCAGGCAGGTATGCATAGCATGCTAGCAGCACCTATGACCATGGGGCAGAGCAACCATATGAAAAAAGATATCGTCTTCAACCAATAAGTTCCACAGAGACGAACTCCTACAAGTATGTTGACTTACAAGTTCAATGTCTTCACGGGAAACATTTCTGTTCTGACTATTTGTAATGGATGATGAACACGGATTTGGTCCTGGAGTCTCAGCAACTAGAGGATTTTGATGAATAGGTTGAATTTCATTTGAAGCTTGTGATGATGGTTGTAATTCTTCTGTGCTCTGAGGATTCTGTGCAAACTTTGCTTGATTAAGAGATGAGGAATAGATAAGAAAAAGATCTGAAGAGCGAAGCAAGAAAGAAAGATCATGTGATTCCCATCGGCATATATCTAGAAATTTCAGACCAGCAAATGACCAGAGTTCTTCAATAGTATAAAGATAGATCCTAAAATCTCTAAAGAACATATGATCGACAATAACAAACATGACTGAACAAAACATCTGCTTCACAAAATTTGTGAAGCAACTAAACAAAAGAGCTAACAAATGTGGAGAAATCTGTTTGTTAAAATGACTAAAGGACTTAGAACATTTCAATTTGTTCTGATGCCAGCTAATCAAAGGAGCAGGGAGGGAAAAAACATACGATTGAGAATTTTAAATACAGATATTGTAGAAACATGGCCAGGCAATGTAAATAGATTATGACAAAAGTGAGACAAACAAACTCTGGAAGGATAGATCTGTAATATTACAAGTGGAGGATCTCACTTCTGAGGTCTTCATTTCAGTTCATCGCATTGATCCCTGCTCTGTTATCAGATTTTTCGAGACAGATGTCCAAGTGATGTCTCCATATCTAGAAGATAGCACAGAATAGATAATCCATATCAGCCATGATTGTCTTCTGAAACACACAATATGAGTATGACAAAGAAATTTAAATAGACCAAAGGACTGAAACTTTAAAACAGCTTGTATAATCTCATGAAACAGAAATTTGAGAACAGAAAAATTACATCTGAATCTGTTTGAGTGAGGTATCCCGATACCCAATGTTAAAGCTTAGAATGATCACATAAAACATAATAGAAAAGTTAATATCCTTCAAGAAGTCGAAATTGTCATATGATTAACTGAGTTAATTCTTCCTGACGAAAAGAAAGGACACGGAGGTAACAGAAGCCTTAGCTAATTTCAGTTGTAGTAATCTTTCCATAATTGACCTTATGATACAGAAGCATCATTCATAATCTTGTTGTTGTTTTCTGACAAAAACTACAACAACCATTAATAAAATAAAATCACATTCTGATGCAAGAATATCTGACTTCATGAGAAAAAGAATCATATGCTTAATTAGCTCGACAGAAGGTGAAGTTCATTGCACACAATCATGCAAATTATTTACATCACATAACAGGCTTGTCATATGTTCCTCGGCTCATAATCAAGAGCTCAACAATTCAGTTAGCCTTGTATAGAAAGAGCAGCATGTAATTCACCTTTAATCAGAGGGGTCGGCAGCACATGCTAGATCAATGAGGAAGACTAAAGATAATAAATGGAAAGTAGATTCAAGATTGTACAATAAGTTTGTAACCTACAATTTTCAGGTAGTTCATGCTTTACAAAGAATAGTCGCATAACAAATAAACATCCATATCACTGTTATCTCAATAATTATTCTCAAGTTAGAATAATCTTCGAATTATATAATTGTTTTCCAGTATCTCCCAGAAACACACATGACTGAATGATAAAGTACCAAAGAGAGAGATATGTCATTTGCTAAAAGTTAAAAATTGCAAGAAGAACTAGAAACATCTACTATTATGTCCCTTTGATCACCAAACAATAGGCAAAAAATATAATGCACAAAACAGTGTTGAAACTTTCTATCCATATCCAAGCAAGGTGCAGACTGAGCCAAAAATTAAAAAGAGCTAAATTTTGCTCAAATAGAGATTTTATGTGTGAGAAAACTGAGACTGACTACGTAGCAATCCCTCTCCGGGAACCTACAAATCTACAGGCTGGAAAACGAAGATGCTAAGATTTAGGTATGAAATCGCTAACTCTTAATGATGTATAGCTGTAAGTCGTTGGAAATCGATGGGCTCAGAGGATCTAAAATTCCAGATTGGTAGTGACATCCTACTGATGAAGACCGCAACTGTACCATAGGTGGACAAAAGTCACAAAACACTAGTCATCAATAGCTAGTCTCGACAATAACAAGCACTTAAGATAGCAGCCTACCTACCAACACCTATTCCAACATAAGCAGAATTCCGGAAGCATCAGACTTTAGGTTCCAAATCTAGAACAGAAGAGAATCATCTCAGCGTAAATTTCAGCTTTCCCGTTGCACAATCCAAACCCAAATGCCTTTTCCACCTACCACGAAGATCCTTCATCATCCAATTCATCAAATTCTGAATGCAGAATTCTACTATTACAACTTCAAATGAAAAGAAAAGAAACAAAAAATAACACAAATCAGAGCATAGAAAAAGATCCGAATTATTGAGAAAAGAACTAGAAGGAAGTACAGATGAAGTGGTCAGCCACCAGCGTTCTACACTCGTTCTCTAAATTTAGCGGCTTCACACCAGCAACAAAACCCAGCAAAAGAGCCCCAAGATTTAGTTATCCGCAGCGAATCTGAGAAAGGTATCCATCGATTCATCCGCGCTTACCTATAAAGAGAGGAACTCTGGATTCTCCAACCCTCTGTCCAACCTCTGAGAGAGAGAGAGAGAAAGAGAGAGAGAGAGAGGAAGATGGGACGTAAGCGGCGGTAAAAGGACTTCGACGGAGATTAGGATCTCTCGCCCTTTATATAGGCAAGTAAAGCCGGTCGTAATTACGATGGACTAATTATCTAATTAATGAGTAAGTTTTGTACCTCTGTAATAATCTCATTGATATGTATAGTAAAATTCTTTTAATTTATATGTTATTATCACACACACACACACACACACATATATATATATATATATATATATATATATATAGTGTGTGTGTGTGTGTGTG